AGAGAGAGAGAGAGAGATTTATTTATTGACAGAGAGAGAGATCACAAGTAGGCAGAGAGGCAGGCGGGGGGGGCGGGGAGGAGGCTTCCCACTGAGCAGAGAGCCCGATGCGGGGCTTGATCCCAGGACCCTGAGACCATGACCTGAGCCCGAGGCAGAGACTTAACCCACTGAGCCACCCAGGCGTTCCAGGGACTCTTGTTCTTAATTTTATATCGGCTCCCAGAGCACAGAGTGGCAGAAGGAAAAGCCCAGCCGGTGTCAACAGCCACCTCTCGGCTTAGTGATTTTGGGGACTGAGGGGAGGCTGGGGATGCCTTTGTAGTACCAAGTCCCAGAAATGGGAATTGTTTTAAATGAGGATGATTTATTTTTATTTCTGCATTTTGTTTTTTTCTATGCTCTATGCTTCTTGCTTCTGGTGGTTCTTCTGAACGAAGAAGTCAACTGTGTGGTTTTATGTAAAATTTGCCTTATTCTGTACTTGGTCTAATTTTTTCCATCTCTTCTTTCCCGTTTCCTCATCATTTGCTGCTGTTTTACTGCAGATTTGCTGAGAGAATCATCTGAGGGGAGTAGTAAATATTGTAGAGAAAACTGAACTGTATGATGGATGAGATGCTAAGGATAACATTAGTACTTCACAAGGAGGCTGAAAGAAAGAATATAAATGCTGAGTTTTAGTGAGCTGAATCACACATGAATTAATCCTTTTGGTCCCCTGGCAGTGCAGACAGGGAAGCGAGGCACGGCAGAGCTGAGTCTCCAAGGGCATGTAACTAGTGAGGTAGAGAATCATACTCCCGAGCCCCGGGTTCTGTGTGATGACGTTACACTGACACATGACATGGGTTAGACACCTGCTACACAGTTCCTGGTCCCTCCTGTCACCGTTAATGACAGTCAGTGCTAAACTTGGAGCCTACTTCAAACAAACAAACAAAAATACACCAACCTCCATACATTCTTCCCCTTCTTTTCATTCTCTTTACAAATGGCTTCCAGTGCGGTCACCTGAGTGGCTCATTCAGTTACGCATCCAACTCTTGATTTTGGCTCAGGTCATGATCTCAGGGTCGTGAGACTGAGCCCCACGGTGGCCTCTATGCTGGGCTTGGAACCTGCTTAGGATTCTTTCCCTCTGCCTCTCCTCCTGCTCTCTCTCTCTCCCTTTCTCTTTCAAAAAAAAAAGGCTTCTAATACATTTAGAAACCTGGTTCTATGTTTTTGTATACATTTAATATACAGGTACTGTAAAAAGAGTAGCTACCTCTTTTAGTATTTTTTTAAAGATATATTTATTTATTTATTTGACAGAGAGAGAGATCACAAGTAGGCAGAGAGGCAGGCGGTGGGGGGTGGGGAAGCAGGCTCCCTGCTGAGCAGAGAGTCCAATGCGGGACTCGATCCCAAGACCCTGGGATCATGACCTGAGCCGAAGGCAGAGTCTTTAACCCACTGAGCCACCCAGGCGCCCCACTACCTCTTTTATTTATTTATTTTTTAAAGATTTTTATTTATTTATTTGACAGACAGAGATCACAAGCAGGCAGAGAGGCAGGCAGAGAGAGAGGAGGAAGCAGGCTCCCTGCTGAGCAGACAGCCCGATGTGGGGCTTGATCCCAGGACCCCGGGATCATGACCTGAGCTGAAGGCAGAGGCCTTAACCCACTGAGCCACCCAGGTGCCCCCCACTACCTCTTTTAATTAGGGATATTAAAACATCTGTACAAGAACCTCCAGGATCATTCCTCGTTTGAAAGCCCAGATAGTATTTGCCCCACTGGGATTAACGTTAAGGACTTTGGTTGGGCAGCTGTGCTGTCAGAACGTCACATCTCACCTCTCTGAGCCTCTGTGCGTCACGATAAAGTGAGGACAGCAGGAGGACTTCCGTGAAAGGCCACCACATTATCTGAGACAATGCAGGCAGGTTGTGCACACAGTGCCCGGCCCATAGTGACTCACAATACGTTTTAGGGCCTATTTTGTGACCGTCAATCATAAGTAGCCTCATCTTTTCCGCCTCAAGTTGCCAGCATATCCTGAGTCATCCTATCTTTTTATTTTTTCCACACATGTCAGTTTGGAAAGCTTCTTACTTGAAGTTTCCCGGGTGGGTGGGGGGATGGGGAGGGCTTGCCTAGAGGAGAAGGAAAGAAAAGAAGGTCATTTTGTTTCCCCACTAAGAAAAGGACTTTGCTAATATTTTGTTCCTGGGGCATGTTTGTAGAATACCAGTAAGTGCGTCCAGATCTTCTGTTTATTTAAGCAGAGGTTAACTTTTGCCCTTCAAACCAGACTTCCATTGTCTAGTGCTCCACTCTGCCTGATAGCAGTGGTGTCATATTTGGTGATAAGGCTGAGCTGAGAAGGGTCCCTTCGACGGTGACTCAGTCAGTCTCTTTCAAAATTTGTCTGCCTTCCTGCTGGTCTGGAATGTATTCCTCCTAGTTCCCTTCCCTCCTTAGAACATTTCCGTTCAACACGTAGCTGCCTCAGAGGCAAAAGGAAGGAACAAAATTCCCTCACAAAAATGAGTAGCAACATTAATCTTACCCCGTTTCAGCCGTAAGAACTTTTGATAAATAGCATTTTTACGCATGGACATGACTTCAGTGGGGCTCATTGGCTGTTGAGCTCTAGAGCTGTGTTTTGATTTCTCTGCTCCTCCATTCTAAATTATTTTGAAGTTGTTTATATCTTAGGCTGAGTTTGATTTGTTTTACTTTGCATTTGACATGACTTTTCTCAAAAAAAAAAAAAAAAAGTCATTCTTCTACTTCAAAGCCTGAGCACTTTAAAAAATTGTCTCTGTATTTTTGTCCTTAAAAAAATAATTTGCAAGAAGCAAAAATAACTTTAGGAAATAAAGTGCTCACTTGGGTTGGATAAAGGCCTGAGGTTTATTTGTAATGAAAAAGTCTCCAGTTGTGTGGGACCTGGTTTTGGTCAGTTTTGAAAGAATGAGCACTGAAGTTCATTGCATGCTACTTTGGGCTGCCAGAGCTGATAGGCTAAGCTCACCTCTAGCGGTTGTGTTTAACTTCCGGGTCAAAGTGTGGTCCCTCACCCAGCAACATCAGCATCTGCACATGAGGTAAAGGGGTGAGTGTGTGTGTGTGTGTGAGTGTGTGTGTGTGAGACTGTGGAAAGATGTCCACGATGTATTGTATATGGGAAATGAAATCGCAGAACAATACATCAGTTTGATTTTATATCTGTTCATTTTTTTAACAAAGGAAGAAAAAGATTCTCACAAGCATTTTATGCTGTATGTTTATATTTGGAAAATACCTGGAAAGAGAAACACAAAATCGTATGATAGTATTTCTCTAGAAAGTAGGTTTAAGAGAGAAGAGTGATGAGGAATTTTTATAATTGTATATCATACAGTTTTGTACTGATATTTTCATAGTAAGCATATATTATTTATAAAATTAGAGAAGAAGAAAGGCTGTGGAGAGATGGTGAGAAGTGGGGGCATAAGGGAAGTAATATATAGTTAATGCCCTATTGGTTTTATAGGAGTTGCTTTTATTCTGTAGTTTCTGACAATGACCGTCAGAGGTGAGAAACGAGAGGTGTAACAAAGTAATGAACCCAGAAGATAGTGTTTCTGAAAAGTCTCCTGCATATTCTGATCCTTGGGGGATTTGAGATCGAATTGTGAAGATGTTCGAGGTTAGAGCCGCAGCCCTGGTCATCTGGTCTTAGCTGCTGAGAAACTGGAAAGAGCTTGAGCTGCAGGGCCATCGCATGCCTGGGTCGGAGGGCTGGGCCTCGCAGCCCTGGTGTCAGTGTCCGGTGTGGGCTCCTGTGGCCACTCCTGGCCAAGGGAAGGGAGCAGTTCGCTCCGTGTCCACAGAGTGACGAGGCACCCTGTGTCTTATTGCCAACTTGATGTTGGAAAGCAGTTTGAGATCCTCACAGGAAGACAAGGCAAAGTAGTTTTGTCAGAAGTTTTGCCTCAGATGTGCATTGATTCAAGTGCCTTTCTACGCCCAATTTTTGTACTTGTTTGTTATCCATGAAACTTGCTTTTGTATATTTAGTACCAATCACAGCAATGTGATGTTAACGGTCCGTTTCCATGTCTTATGTGACGGCTTTTAAAGTGAATCTTTGTGTTCGTTTGCTGCCTTCGTACATTACTAAATTGCTAGAGTAGTTTGGTCAAATCCAAATTCTGTCCCCATTCTTTTCCTCTCTGCTTTCGTTATCAATGACTTTCACCATTTTCCTGAATTCCTTTGGTTTTTCTCTTCCTTGGTTTTTTTTACTGTCTCTCCTCCACTTCTGCCCTCAGTGATGTGTTTATCCTCTAGTCTCCCTTCCAGTTTCTCGTGACTTAGGGTGACCTCAGAGCTTTCTGGCCACTACCTAGGCCAAACTGATGGCGAAAGAGATTGTGATGATAGAGCTACCAAGGGCAGGTGGTGGTGTGGCTTTTTGTCAAGGCAAAGGATCAAAAGTCTTGTAGCCAACCTCAGTTTCTCTTTTTTGGATGTTGGTCCTGACACCTCAGGGTTCCCATGGGACCCCAGTAGAAAGCATGAAGACGGGCTTGGAAGGAACATAGAAAGCAGCCCTTCTCTGCTTTTATTGTGGTTGTACTCAGCATGGGTGGAAAAAAAGAGTGCCCAAGAGCAAACATGCTCACTCATTTAAAATAGATTATACAGGGGGCCCCTGGGTGGCTCAGGGGATTAAGCCTCTGCCTTCAGCTCAGGTTGCGATCTCAGGGTCCTGGGATCGAGCCCCACATCGGGCTCCCTGCTCAGCAGGGAGCCTGCTTCCCCCCTCTCCCGCCTGCCTTTCTGCCTACTCGTGCTCTCTGTCTGTCAAATAAATAAATAAAATCTTTAAAATAAATAAATAAAAGTAAAATAAATTATAGAGAGGTAGATAATATATAAAATCTCTGAAGATATATATATCTCCAGATTCTCTTTTCCCCACAGTATCCAGGACTTGCCTCTCTTACATCAGATTTACACAATGAAGCTAAACTTAGCACAGTTAACAATTTTATCTACTAAAGTAGAAGGCACAAAGAAAACCTCTTCAAAAACCAAATACTTGGGGCCCCTGTGGCTCGGGCAGTTATGCATCTGCCTTCAGCTCAGGTCATGATCCCAGGTTCCTGAGACTGATTCCCACATGGCGGGGGGGGGGGGGGGTCCCTGCTCAGCGGGGAGTCTGCTTTTCCCTTTACCCTTCCCACCCCCGCACTGCTCATGGTCTTTCTCTCTCTCAAAAAACAACAACAACAACAACAACAACAAAAAACCTTTTAAGCTATAAGAGTGATTGGTGCTGTTCTTAGTTTATCAGTTCGATGTTGCCAATTAACAGTTACTACTCAGTTTGGCAAGAACCAGCTTTGGCGTGATTTTTTATCACACGTATTAAGACACCGATGTGAAGTTGTAAAGCAGAAGACAGGAAGCCAAGGCCCACGGGTACAGCCCAGTGAGGGGAGCCTGAGTGGTTTTACAAGTGGTAGAACCAGAGCAGGAGCTGGGCTGCCAACTAACAGGGCCCAATCCCCACTCCCCCCACCCCCCCACCACCTGGGCCTGAGTCCGTAGCTTCCTGACGTCAGAGTGAGTGCTCGGAATGGATTATCGAGCTCCTGAGTGTCCTTACTCCCACCGGTGATCCCTGAGCTATAATTAAGCTAGGTGATTCTGGTTTTTTGTTTTTCCTATTTATATAGGCTAATCATGGCTCTCACAGTATTAACTACCCATTGTACCTCTTACAGTTACCAAAATGTTTAATAATACCTTAATTGAATAACATTGACTGGTTTTGTATGTATGAAATGGTTAGCAGTGTAACAAAGCCTGCATCATGAAAGATTTATGTAATCCAAGAGGAAAGAGCCAGGCTTTAAATAGTTTATTCCTTTAAAACTTTTAAAAACATATTTAACAGTTTACAAAAGTGACATGCTTATTACATGTTGTCCAAGTACAGTACAAAAGTATATGTAATGAGAAGTGAAAGCCCCCTCCAATTTCCTGTCTCTCTACAGGAAGAGCCCTTGTATCATTCCAGAACTTTTTCTACGCACTTGTGCGTCTGGGAAGAGTATAAATATGGGGTTTTCTTTTTTAATCCTGAATTGGATCATGATATACATCCAGGCGGCCTTTCTTCCTTACTAGATCGGGGGCCTCTTCCTTAACCAGTATACAGAGATTGACCTCGTTTTTATTTCACATTTCCATAATGATGCACATATTCACTGTCTTGCATGTTCTTACTGTTACCCATAATGCCATGGGAGTATTGTACACGTCTGCTCGTTCCTGTGCAAGGATACTTGTTTAAGTAGAAACCTGGGAATGCAGGTGACACGTTGCCTGGTGCCAGCAGTGAACGAAGCGTACAAGATGCGGAGTGATGAGTTCTGGAGACAGTACAGTGCCTGGAGAATGGGATATTCCTCAACCATGTGCCCTTCGCCCCTTTTACTGGCTATTGTAATTGCAACTTAGTGCGCATTATTGAATTTTAATGAAAAGTTTTTCTGTGTTGTAATTCCATGAGTTGACACTTCAAAGAAGAGTTAAGTTTGAAGGTCAGTGTCCTTTGAAAAAAACTTTTGTTTCCAAGCTGACTTTGAAAAAGTTTGTGGATGTGGTCAGAGTGTCCTGGCCGTTTAAAGCAGGGCTGCTGACTCCTCAGAAACGCAGACAGACAGTAGTCAGCAGCCATGTGCAGGGAGGCTTCCAGACCTCGGCTCCTCACTGCCTGGGAGGGGGCTGGCGGCCCGGCAGAAGACGGCAGAGCCCCTTCTTGGCCATGTTTGTCCACCCCAGAGTCTCGGTGTTGAGATAATGAGTAAATGGCTTTATTTTAACTTAATCCACTGTTTGAGCCGCCTTGGTAAAATGTTAATAGTTGGCTTACTACTACACAGTTTAGCCACATAGTGACAAGATGGAGTGTGTCTTAAACACACACCCTCCTGCCTAACCCCAAAATTGTAGTTGTTTTTTTTTCTTTTTTTTTTTTTTTTGGTTGAGAGTTTTATTAAATACAAAGTCCAGGTGATTCATTTCGGATTTAGGAAATGTAAAGTTTTGTTGATATGAGGCTTGACCTTTCAGAAAGTATCCACTGAAATACCGCTGTCCTTTTTACTTCCCAGTGCTTGGTCTGGTCCTTCCCATGTGGGCGATAGCACTCATCTCCTTTGGTGTTGCACTGCTGTTCGCCCTTTTTGTATGGCTCTTTGTGTGTCCATGGATGCGGAGGAAAATAGCAGGTAAGGGCTTTTTTCTTCCTCTGATTCACAAAATCCCTGGTTCCTGGGGCTTCAGGTGTAATCCACCATCACCCTTACTAACATAGGAAACTGGAAGCATCGATGACTCTGGAACACAGCACTGAGATACATGCCCCGTCCTTGTCTCTTGGCTCCTGCCTACTTTCCCCGTCAAACTTTTTCTTAGTGACTTGTGACTTGAGTGAGCAGTAAGGTCCTGGTTGCCTCGGATAACTACAAGTTAACTGTTTGGTCAGGTTCTACTGGCCAGATGAAAAACATTAGGGAAAATGCAGGGAAATGCATTTTAACACCATAATATAATATCAGTTCACACCCACAGGAAGGGCTAAAAGTGAAGGAACTATTTCGAAGTTGATGAAGAGGTGGGATAACTAGAACTCTAGTGCACTCACAGTGAAATGTAAATGGTCCAACCGCTCCAGAAGTTAGAATAAGTTTCCTGTAAAGTTAAGCTTACATTTACCACATGAACTAGTAATTCCACTCCTAGGTATTTATCCAAGAAAAGTGAAAACACACATTCATAAAAAGACTTGTATATAGTCGTTCTATCATAACAGGAAAAACTAGAAACAGCCCCAGTGTTCCTAAATAGGTGAAAGAATAACCAAATTGTGGTCTATTCATACAGTGGAAACCTGCTTAGCCCTAAAGAGAATGAACTACCCACAGCATAATGAATTTCATAGACATTGCTTTGAGTAGAAGAAGCCAGATACAAGAGTACATACTGTATGATTCTAGAGAAAATTAATCTACAGTGATAGAAACTGGGTGCTGGAGGTGATAGGGAGTTTACAGGAGACTGATAGCAAAGGGACATATGGGAGCATTCCAGGGGCCTAGAAATGTTCTCTGTCCCAGTTGGGGGAGTGTTTATAGGGTGTACTCATTCATCATAGGTCATCTGCTTATACACTTAAAATGTATGTATTTTTTTATGTATAAATTACACCTCAACAAATGCATTTTTTTTTTTTTTTTAAAGAAGAATATGGGTCAGAAAGTTGCCAGAGTTGTTTTTCTGTCACTAGCAACATAATTGCAAGCCGTGAGGCCACATGCTCTTATAGGGCTCTCAAAAGAAAAGAAGTATTTACTTTTGGCCTCAGAGTGTGCCTTACAATTGTGTTTCAGTGTGGACATATCAGAATTTGAAAACCTACATTTCAAAGAAGAGCAAAACAAATGAGGAGACATACATGTTCATGAATTGGAAGGCCCTGTAAGAGTTAAGATGTCAGTTCTTGTTAAATTGCTCCCTAGATTTAGTAAAATTTAAATTAAAATCCCAGCAAGATACTCTGTAGATTTAGACAAGTTGCTTTTAAGATCTATATGGAAAGGTAAAGGAACTAGAATAGCCAAAAACAATTTTGAAAAAGAACAAGTTGGCAGATTCATAGGATTCATATAAAGCAACCAGACTGTGTGGTATTAGTGAAAAAATAGATACCCACATTAACAGAACAGACTAAAGTCCAGAAATAGACCCACACAAATACAGCACATTGATTTTCAACAAAGTACAGAGGCACCTCAGTGGAGATAGAGTCATCTTTCAACAAATGGTATTAGAACATTTGGACATCTGTATGCAGAAAAAGAACCTCAACTTAAGCCTCACACCTGTAAAAAAAAAAAAAAAAAAAAAAAAACCAAGTGTATCATAGATTTAAATGAAAATAGAAAGTGATACGACTTCTGGGAAAGAAATAAAATGCATAAAATTTGTCCATATTATTTTGAGCCATTCAAATCAGTGTGTAGTGATATCTTATGATTTTAATTTGTACTTCCTTGATGACTAACAGGACTTACTTGCCATTTATATAGCTTTACTGATGAAGTGTGTGTTCTTATTTTTTGCTCATTTTTAACTGCTGTTTTCAAAGATTTCTGTCTATGTTCTTTTTTTTTTTTTTTTAAGATTTTATTTATTTATTTGACAGAGATCACAAGTAGGCAGAGAGAGAGGAAGGGAAGCAGGCTCCCTGCTGAGCAGAGAGCCCAATGCGGGGCTTGATCCCAGGACCCTGGGATCATGAACAGAGCTGAAGGCAGAGGCTTTAACCCACTGAGCCACCCAGGCGCCCCTCTCTCTATGTTCTGAATACAAGCCCTTTGTCAGGGGATTTGCAAATAACTTCTTCCCAGTCTGTAGCTTGTCTTTTCATTCTTTTAATAGTGCTTCTCACTGTTTTTAATCTTCACGAAGTGTAGTTTACCAATTTCTTTTTTTTCTAAGTTGTGTTTTGGGTGTCACATCTAAAAACCCTTTGTTTCATCCACTCACAAAAGTATTTTCCCTTTTTAAAATTTTTATAAAAATCACAAATGTTGTGGTTTCATTTATATGACATTCTGAAAAAGGCAAAATTGTAGGGACAGAGACCAAGTCAGTGGTTGGTTGCCAAGGAGCTGGGCAGGGGGTCTGACTACGCGGGGGAGCTTTGGGAGGTGATGGAATCTCCCTGTGTCCTGCTTGTGGTGAGGGTTACACGGATCCAGACAGGTCTCACAATCAGGAAGGACTCACATATACGCACATAGTCTTACTGCATAAATTTAAAAACGAATACTAAAAAGATCCACATTAATTAATACATACAACGTCAGACTCAGTAGTAAAGCCACGTCAGTGATGGGCTGGTAAGTAGCTGCTGCTGCCTAAAATGAGCCACTTAACACATGCCGCTGGCCTGACTGAAGCCCATACTTAAATGCTTTGACGTTTAAAGGCTTTTCCTACTATCTGAACATTCTTGTCAAATAAACTACAAAATCTTCACTTTCCATCTTAAGGCTATTAATATAACAGCAGGAAACTGACATTCCTCCCCATTCTGGCTTCCCAGGAAATTTTTTTTTTCTTTTTGGTCAGTGCCATCTTTTGTTATTTCAGTATATATTTCTTGTTTGGTTGTTTTAAGTACACTCTAGTGATCAAGGACACGAACTGTAGCCCTAAACTGCCTGCAATTTACTACCTGGGTGACTATGCGCCAATGACTTCATCTTTGTACCTCAGTCTGCTCATTAATAAAAAGCAGAAAATAATGAAACCTGTCTCATGTAAGCGTTAACGGTTTTGCTTAATTATTATTGTTATCATTACAAATAATACCTTCTCTCATTTTGATTATAAGCGCCTTGTGGTAGGAGATCTGTGTGTCCCTTTCTTCGTCCCCTGTAGTACAGAACAGAAGTGTCACTTCGGAAGATCCGTGTGGGTTTCTTCCGACTCTCTTAATAAAGAGAGGTGATGGAGATGCTGTGCGTGTATCCAGCAGAGGAACTGAGAATACTTGCATTTTAGTTTTGTAGGTAAGAGCTTAGAGATTTGCCCAGGAGCATTTACAAGCAGCGAGATCATTAAATCAGCCGCACCGCTTATCAGATCTGATTAAAAAGGATGCTACAGAGCTTTCGAGCAGCTCTTTAAAAAAATCCCTTCTCCTTTTTTTTGAAAGTAAAGGATTTTTAAAAGTAAGTAGGATCTCTCTGTTCCTTTCTGGAAGATGATTTACTTGTTTCCTAAGATTTGGTGACCTGAAGAAATCGTAGACCAATAATTTATTGAACAGAAGAAAACCAAACAAACTATAACTAATAGCTCTGAAGACAAAAAGGATAAACATTTCAGTGATTTTGAGGTTAGTTTAAGAACACAGAAGACCATTCCAGATGGTTGTAGGATTACAGAATGCTGGCCCTGGACAGGACTGTGGGGACCGAATCTAGCCATCTCTATTTGTTGGTTTTGGAGGAGAGAACTGAGGCCGGAGCCCCCCTCTTGTACTCAGTAGTTGAATTTTCTGGCTCAGTTTTCCCAGATAATTGAACTCTCCACTTTATTTTTTTCTATCTAGCTGTAACTATATTTTTTCATTTCCCAAGTAAGTAGTACTAAAATATAAAGACAAATATTCACTTTTATATTCATTTTTTAATAACAAGAACTCTATTTCAGCATTTTCAGTTACGGCTATATTTTCTTTAGGCAAATTACAAAAAGAAGCTGCTTTATCGCGAGTGTCTGATGAAAGCCTCGGGAAAATTCAGGAAGCAGAGTCCCCGGTATTTAAAGAGCTACCAGGTGCCAAGGCCAATGATGACAGCACCGTCCCTCTCACGGGGTCAGCGGGGGAGCCGGCTGGGACCTCGGAAGGCACATCAGTGGGGAACCACCCCCGGGCCTCCTATGGTAAGACGTGTGCAGAGGATTTGGGTTTGCATGGTGGCAGAGAGCAGTTCTGGGGAAGTTATACAAATGTTTTAATGCACACAAGTGTTCCCCACTGTCATGATTTGGAAGAACCCAGGTGCTACGGCTGTCTCAGGAGACCATGCAGTCAACAGAGCAGGCTCACTCTGGGCCTCTAATTTTCTTCCAAGAGCTATTTCTAGTCTCACGAGGAGCCCACACATTGGCCGAGCCCGGCCTCCGTGCAGCCGCACACACATCCTCTGTGGGGCAGTCTCCTAGCTGCCGGAGATTGGCCCTTCCAGCTCACTAAGTGTGCCTTCCTCCCGGAAGACACAAGGAGAAAGCTGAAATTGGAACCAAGGACATCGTCCTACTGTAGAATCACAGAAACCTCAGAGAACATCGAAATTGTCCTGTGGCAGTGGGGTTCTTTTGTCTCCTAACATTTGCGGAGAATGATGGGTGAGCCCCAGCCTCTGCCAAGCCTGTCTGGGCAGCTCCTCACCTTCCTGCAAGGTGGGGCCCTGGCACCTGCTTTCGCTTCCTGTAGGTGCGGCCTCAGACTTGGCCCAAAGAAAGCAAATGGGTTTTGTCCCACTGATCTGACAGATAAGTGCCTCTGACAGTCATGATTGGCCTTTAAGGAGCATCTAGAATTTCTCTCTCCCAGTGAACTTCCTCTATGAAGTTTCCCCAAGTTCCTTTAAGGATTATCCCTTTATTGGTTACTAGAAACAGGAAAGAGTGCCGTGGTAATTTCTAGAAGACATATATATTTTAGGAGAAAAATAGCATCACTTTCAAAGGCCATATTATTCATTCGTACATTTCCAACTTTCCTTTGCTATTTTAACCGTATTACACATTCTTTATAGTAATTTGGAAAAGAAAGCATGGGGGAAAAAATTGGAAAATCCCCTATAACCCTAACTTCCAGAGAGAACCGCTGTGAAGAGTGAGGAATATTTCCTTTCAGAAATGATTTCTCTTCAGAAGGCTAGAAAGTGAGACTCTCGTTCACCCTTTTCAGGAAGGGCACTGTCCATGACCCATGGCTCGGCAAAATCACCCATCTCCAACGGCACCTTCGGCTTCGACGGCCACACGCGGAGCGATGGGCACGTGTACCACACGGTGCACAAGGACTCGGGGCTCTACAAGGACCTGCTGCACAGAATGCACACGGACAGGGGCCCCGAGGAGAGGCCCGCCCCGGAGAACAACTACAGGCTGCTGCGGCGCAACAACAGCTACACGTGCTACACAGCCGCCATCTGCGGGCTGCCCGTGCACGCCACCTTCAGAGCCACCGACTCATCCTCCGCGCCCGAAGACAGCGAGAAGCTGGTGGGCGATGCCGTGTCCTACTCCAAGAAGAGACTTCGCTACGACAGCTACTCGAGCTACTGCAACGCGGTCGCAGAAGCCGAGATCGAGGCCGATGAGGGGGGTGTGGAAATGAAGCTGGCTTCTGAGCTGACCGATCCCGACCAGCCCCGGGAGGACCCCGCGGAGGAGGAGAAGGAGGAGAAGGACACCGCCGAGGTCCACCTCCTGTTCCATTTCCTACAGGTCCTCACTGCCTGTTTTGGATCCTTCGCTCATGGTGGCAATGACGTGAGGTAAGTATATGTGTTCGCTCGGCAGGTATGTGCTGAGGGCCTGTCTGCGGGCCAGGCACCGTGTGGACACCCGATGGGGATCCCTGTCACCGGGAGCAGACAGACAGGTAGCAGCTGTGGTGTGCTCGCAATGTAGACGCGAAGGGGAGAATCAGGTCTGCAGGGGAATGGCAGCATCTCGGGGACTGTGGTGTTGGCGAGGCTACTCAAGTTAGGGCTCACTAGGTGAGCTCTGAAGGGGCTGAGGGAGCCAGCTGTGTGAGCAGCTGTGCCAGAGCAGCTCCAGGACAGCAGGTGCAAAAGGCCTGTGGCAGGAGCGCACCTAGGGTATTGTAGGAAGAGCAAGGAGGCCATGGAGGGAGAGAGTGTGGACCATCAGGTCAGCAGGTCATGGAGGCCTGGAATACGTAGAGTCTCTATTTTCTTCTTATGAGCTGGGAAGCCCTAGACAAGCCACGTGTTTGTTTGGGAGCCTCAGTGTCCCAATCTGTAAAATGGGAGGAAAACTAGTACCAGCCTCATGGGATTTCTAGGAGGATTAAGTGAGATGCTATATTTAATGTGCTTAGTATGGTGCTTCTCACATAGTCAGTATCTATGTATTTTCTTCATTACTATCATTATCATCAAGCCTAATGTTTTTTTCCAAATCAGGAAAACATGCTGTTGTTGTATTTCTTACTGCCCAGATATATGGCTCTTGATTCTACAGCTCTGGCTTTCCAGAAACAGCCTAACCATGTGCCATTCAGGGTCTGTTCTTTTTAGAAGACATCCTCCCAGACAAGAGGGCTGGTCATCTCGGGTTCCACCCGCTGTTACGTAGGTGTTGCCGTCGCTATATTTCAGGCATCGTGTTCGGTCCTAGCTTACTTTTGTGACTACGCCCCCAGCACCACCCTACTTCCTCCTCCTCCAGATCAAAAATTCCTACTGAAGCCTTGGTACCGGCAAGGTGTTCTGAATTGGGTTCCTGTTCTTGGAGTTTAGATTCCAGCTGGGGAGATTAAAAGAACATACACGGAGAAGTAACAAAGCACCCCAGAGCCATATCGCAAGGCCTCAGGAAGTCCCGGGCGGGACTGCTGCAGGGGACTGGCGTCTCGAGCAGTGGCTTGCCGGGCAGGGCCTGGGGGCTTCCGAGTGGCAGACATAGGTAAAAGTGCAAGGTTCTGGAAGTGATGTGGCAGTGAAGAGAAGCTTCTATTCCTTTAACCCAAGGCTATTAAGTTTACCCCAGGCTTCAGTGCTGAACCGTTAGTAACTTATTCTTAATTTGTCTCCAAACGGTCCTTTGAGGTCATAGTGGTTTCCTTCAAAGACGAAATCTGAAGCTCAGAAATACGACGTCTCTTGCCCAGGATCACACAGCTAATGAGAAGCAGACTCGACAGGCCGCTCTTCGTGACCCTCAGCCTCCGCTCTACCTGCACGGCGTCCAGCGGGCTGAGGAGGGGAGGCCGGAGCTGCTGACGGCCCCTCGAAGGCCTGTGGGGGCTTCTGCACAGAGGAGCTCAGAGGCTGCCGCTCTCTCCTCACAACAGACTGAAAAATCAACAACTGCTCTTGGAGCCGTGAGAGAGAGGAGGGCCGAGGGCAGACGGCTGGCCCCAAGACGAGTACGGGAGAGACAGACAAGCATGGGGCTCACGGGGGAGACACATGAGTGGAAAGTGTCGTGGGAACCAGTGCCGGGCCGGAGGGCCTGAACTGTAATGATGAATTCCTAGAGGCCTCGGTGGAGGCGAGTGTGGGAGGTAAAGACTCCAGGGAGAGCCCGTGGTAGGGCCCCCACCAGATTGTCCGTTTTGCCTCTAGGAGCTCTGCCAGCTTCTCACGGTGAAGATCAGAGGAAGCAGTCCCCTCCTGCTTCCATGGCAGGGGAGAGGCAAAGTAACCATACTTGACAGACCCAGACCGCTGTGTTCTTAGCAAGCTGCCCTCAGGGGAAACTAGTTAACCGGAGCCTAACCCGCTGAGGTACTATCACAGCCTAACCTGGAGGAAGAGAAACTAGCCCACGAGAACCATGAGACAGAGCAAGCATCAGAACCAGACGTGGCAAGGCATGTTAGAACGGTCGGGTTGGGAATTTAGAACAACTGTGATTAACATGCTAGGAGTTCTAATGGATAAGGTAAGCGTCGTGCAAGACAGATGGGCAATGGAAGCAGAGACAGTGGAGGCACTAACAGAGAACCAGAAGGAAATACTGGAGAGGACCCATAAGTGAAGAAGGCTTTTGGTGGGCTTACTAGTGCACTGGACACGGCTGAGGAAAGAATCTCTGAGCTTGAGGCTATGTCAACAGGAATCCCCCAAACTAAAGAGAACAAAGACCGAAAAACCAGAATAGAATGTCCAAGGAGTGTGGGACAGTTACAGAGGTGTTAACATATGCATAATAGGATTACCAGAAGGAGAAGACAGAGAGAAAGGGACAGATGAAATATTTGAAACAATAACGATGGAGAATTTCCCTGAATCAATGGTAGACACCAACCCAGAGGTCCAGGAAGCTCAGAGAGTAGCAAGTAGAATAAATGCCCCCAAGAAACTATATCTAGGTATATCATTCTCAAACTGTAGAAAATTAAAGAAAAATTCCTGCACGAAGTCAGAAGAGAAAAACTTACAGAGGAACAAAAATAAGAATTAATCCATCTTCTCCTCAGAAACCATGCATTTGAGAGGGTAGTGAAATATATTTAAAGTGTTGAGGGGGAAAAAAATCCACCAGCTTGGAATTATGTACCCTGGGAAATTATTCTTCAGAAGTAAAGAAGAAATAAAGACTTTCTCAGATGCACAAAAATTGAGGGAGTTGTTGCTAGAGAAATACCTTGCCTTGTAAGAAATGTTAAGAGAAATTCTTTAGGGGCGCCTGGGTGGCTCAGATGGTTGAGCCTCTGCCTTCGGCTCAGGTCATGATCCCAGGGTCCTGGGATCAAGCCCCGCGTCAGACTCTCTGGCAGGGGGCCTGCTTCTCCCTCTCCCTCTGCTGCTCCCCCTGCTTGTGCTCTCTCAATCTCTCTGTCAAATAGATAAATAAAATCTTTAAAAAAAAAAAAGAAAGAAACTCTTTAGAGAGAAGAAAAATAATATAGCTCAGAAACTCAGATCTACATAAAGAAAGGAAGAACATCAAACCTGGCGATTCACAGACCTGTACCCCTGGGGCTAATAATACATTATATGTTAATTTAAAAAAATTTTTTTTAATATAAAAAAAAGGAAGAACATCATGTAAGGATTAAGTAAAGTTTAAAAAAAAGTTATTATTCTTATTCCTAAGTGATCTAAATGATAACAGTTTGTTCAAAATAATACTAACAGTGTATCAGTTATTCAGTTGTGTATGCTAGTATATATTGTATTATTATACTCTTTTTAATTTGTTGAGATATGTTTATGTATTAAACTATATTTAGGTAACTGTAAATATGTACATATACAGTTACCTAAATATAGTTTAATATATAAACATATCTCAACAAATTAAAAAGAGTATAATAATACAATGTCCGCTGTCAGACCACAATTGAACTATATATATATATACACACACACACACATATATCCCCGTACATACATACACACACATATATCCCCGTACATACATACAGCTATATATATGTGTATGTATGTATGTACATATATAATTGACCTTTGAACAACATGGGTTTGGACTGTGCATCTACTTACATGCAGGTCCTTTTCAATAACTACAGTACTATAAATACATTTCTCTTCTTTATGATTTTCTTAACATTTTCTTTTCTCTAGCTTACTTTATTGTAAAAATATAATATATAATACATATAATATGCAAAATATGTGTCAATAGGCTTCCAGTCAATAGCATTACTAGTAGTAAAGTTTTTGTGGAGTCAGAAATTATAGAGGCACCTGGGTGGCTCAGTTGGTTAAGTGTCTGTCTTTGGCTCAGGTCATGGTCGAGCCCCACATGAGGCTCCCTACTCAGCAGGGAGCCTGCTTCTCCTCTCTTTCTGCTGCTCCCCCTGCATGTGTTCTTTTGCTCTCTGTCAAATAAATAAATAAAATCTTTAAAAAAGAGAGAGAAATTATACACAGAGTTTTTACTATGTGGGGCTCAGCATCCCAATACCCACAGTGTGGAAGTCAACTAAGTATGTATTTCATATATTTTATGTTTATATGTTTATATTTATATTATATATTTTATATGTGTATATATGTGTGTGTGTGTTAATACATGTATGTATTATATACATGTATGTGTGTATATATGTATATAATACATGTGTGCCTGTATTAAATGAAATGAATGACAGCAGTGATACAGGGGATGGGAGGGAAAAATGAGGATTTTTTTGTTTTGTTTTAAGGACCCATGCTGTCTGTGAAATGGTATAGTCTTTTTTGAAAGCAGACATGGATTAGCTATATAAGTATGTATTGCAAAGTCTAGGGCAACCACTAAAAACAGTTTAAAAAAAGTATAAACAACATGCTAAGAGAAGAAAGAAAATGAAATATGTAAAATGCTCAGTTAAAAGGCAAAAAAAGTGGAAGACAAAAACAAGAAAGAACAAGGCCAACAAATAGGAAAGAGTAACAAATATGGTAGATCTCAATCCTCCTAAATCAGTAATAACTTTGAATGTCAGTGGTCTAAATGCACCTGTTAAATGACAAAGACTGCTGGACTGGATCAAAAACCAAATGTATGTTGCCATAAGAAATCCACTTTAAGTAGAAAGACACATTCAGGTTAAAAGGAGGAAAATATACCATGCTAATACTAATCAAAGGAAAACAGGAGTTGCTATATTAATTTTAGAAAGAACAGACACAGATTCAGCAAGCAGATCAGTAAGGATATAGTTGAATCCCCTAAACCCATCAAATCTGCTGGATATAACTGACATCTGTGAACTAGTTCATCTAACGGTAGCAGAACTCACATCCTTTTCAAGCTCATATGGAACATTCAGTGAGTTATGCTGTATTTTGGACCACACCACACACCTAAACACATTTGAAAAAATAAAGCTAATATAGTGTCTGCTCTCAGAGCACAATGTAATTAAACTAGAAATCCACAACAGAAAGATAATTAGAAGATTCCAGAATACCAGGAGATTAAACAACACACTTCTTTTTTTTTTAAGCTTTTATTTATTTATTCGACAGATAGAGATCACAAGTAGGCAGAGAGGAAGGCAGAGAAAGAGAGAGAGAGAGGAGGAAGCAGGCTCCCTGCCGAGCAGAGAGCCCGATGTGGGGCTTGATCCCAGGACTCTGAGATCATGACCCGAGCTGAAGGCAGAGGCTTTTAACCCACGAGCCAAGCAGGCACCCCTAAACAACACACTTCTAAATAACGCATGGATCAAAGGAGAAATTTTTAAGTATTTTAAACTAAATTAAAATGAAAACACATCAAAATTAGTGGGATGCAGCAAAATCTGTGCTAAGAAATTTATAGCACTGAATGTATATATTAGAAAAGAATAAATATATAAAATAGGTAATCTACATTTCCACCCAAGGAAACTAGAAAAAGAGGAGAAAATTAAATCCAAAGTAAGCAGAGGAAATAATAAGAATTAGAAAAGAATCAGTGAAAATGAAATCAGGAAATCAAAAGAGAAAATCCGTGAAACCAAAGGCTAATTCTATGAATAAATTAATAAAGTTGATAAGCCTCTAGCTAGGCTAACTAAGAAAAAGAGAGGATACAAATTACTAATATTGGAAATGAGAGAGTGGACTTCACTTTAGATCCTATAGACATTAAAAAGACAATACTCTGAACCACTCTGCTCATAAATTTGATGACCTAGATGAAAAAGACTGAATTCCTTGAATGACACAATTTGCCAGAACTCATGAAAGAAGAAATAGACTATCTGAATTGGTCTGTATCTATTTAAGAAACCAAACCATAATTAATAACCTTTCAAAACAGAAAGCACCATGCCCAGATGGGTTCCTTGGTGAATTCTGCCAAACATTTAAGGAAGAAACTATGCCATTTCTCTAGTCTCCTTCAGAGGATAGAAGTAGAGCAAATACTTCTCAACTTATTCTGTAAGGCCAGTATTACCTTATTACCAAAACCAGAGGAGGACATTGACATAAAAGAAAACTGCAAACCAGTATGTTTCACAAACATGGATATACAAATCCTCAACAAAATATTAGCAAATTGAATCCAGCGATGTATAAAAAGAATTAAACACCATGACCAAAGGATGTTTATCCCAGGTATGCCAGGCTGGTTCAACATCCAAAAATCAGTTAATGTAATCTATCACATCAATAGGCTAAAAAAGGAAAAATCACATGATTGTATCAATAGTTGCAGAAAAATCTTAAACAAAATTCACCTCTTTTTCATGATAAAAACTTTCAGTAAACTAGGAATAAAGGGGAACTTTTTCAGTTCCTGAAATGAGTAAGCAGTTATAGCAGGGTTGCTGGATATGATATTAATATACAAGTCAATTGCTTTCCTACATACCAATAATGAACCGGTGGCATTTGAAATTAAAAACAGAATATCGTTTACATAATGAAACAGTTATAAATCTTACAAAATTTGTACAAGATTTACATGCAGAAAACTATAAAACTGATTAATAAAATCAAAGAATTAAATGGAGGGATTTTCCATGTTCAGGGATAGGAAGACTCAGTATTGTCAAGATGTCAGTTCTTCCCCCCCTTGATTTATAAATTCATTACAATCCCAGTCACAATCCCAGCAGATTATCTTATGGATATCGACAAACAGATTGTAAAATTTGTCAGGAAAGGCAAAAGACCCTGAGTAGTCAGCACTGTATTGAAGGAGTAGGACAAAACTGAAGGACTGACACTGCCCATCATCAAGACTTACTGTAATACAGCTACAGTAATCAAGATGGTGTGGTACTGGTGAAGGAATAGATAAGTCAGTGAACCAGAATGGAGCTCAGAAATAGACCCCCTTGGGGGCGCCCAGGTGGCTCAGTCGATTTAAGTGTCTGCCTTGGGCTCAGGTCATAACCCCAGGGTCCTGGGATCAAGCCCTGCATCGGGCTCCCTGCTCAGCGGGGAGCCTGCTTCTCCCTCTGCCTCTGCCCCCCACTCATGGGTGAGCACGCTCCCTCTCTCTCTCAAATTAATAAACAAAATCTTTAAAGAAAAAAAAGAAATAGTGCCCCATAAATACAATCAACTGATTTTTGACAGAGGAGCAAAGGAGATGCAGCAGAGTGGAGATAGTCTTCTCAGCAAACAGTGCTGGAGCAGCTAGACGTCCATGCGCAAAAATGAATCTGGACGCAGACCTTACACCCTTCAGAAAAAGGAACTCAAAATGGATTGCAAACCTAAGTGTAAAGTGGGAAACTATTAAAACTCCCAGTAGGATGACACAGGACAAAACCTAGATGACGGTGGTTATGGAAATGACTCTTTAGGATACAACACCAACGGCACAGTCCATAAAGGAAATACTAGGTAAACTGGGCTTTATTAAAATTAGAAACTTTTGCATGGTGGAGGACAGTGTCAAGAAAATGAGTAGAGAAGCCAGAAACAGGGGCACCTGTGTGGCTCAGTTGGTTCTCTGTCTCCCTTCAGCTCAGGTCATGATCTCAGGGTCATGGGATTGAGCCCCATGTTGGGCTTCCTGCTCAGTGAGGGAGTCTGTTTCTCCCTCTGCCCCCGCTCCTCCCTACCCATCTGTTCTCTCTCTCTCAAATAAATAAAAAAAAATTTTTTTTAAAGACAAATCTGCTAAAAGAGTAATATACAAAGAACTCTTAAAACTCAGCAATAAGAAAAATAATCCAATTTTAAAAAGGGGCCAAACACCTTACCAGACACTTCACCAAAGAATGGGGCGCCTGGGTGGCTAAGTGTCCTACTCTTGGTCTTAGTTCAGGTCTTGATCTCAGGGTCATGAGTTCAAGCCTTGCACTGGTCTCCACTCTGGGCATGGAGTATCCTTTAAAAACTAAACAAAACCAAACCTGTGGCATCCCCCAAAACAGTCCACATGTGCCTGCCAAGGGTCTGAGTGACAGTAACGGTTGAGGGGAAAGGGGGTGAGGCCTGAGTCCTGCCTTCTGCTGGTGACGGAACGTTGGCATCCGTTTCCTCGTCAGTAAGATGGGAGCAACCATACCTAGCAGCAGGGTGGGTGTGAGAACTGAGGGTTAGAGACAGTGTTTGTGGTCTGTCGTGTGGGAGCTGATGTGGGTGCCCAAACTGGTAGTTCGTATTAGTAGCAAGGCTAGTAATGAAAATAGAAATAGAGAAAAAAATAGAAGAGAAAAAAAGAACTGGGTTTTTGTGTCCACTTGTGATAATTCAGTACTTCTTTAAAAAATTAGTAAGTCACACACCCATTGAGGGAGGGGCTCCTGTTAAAAAAAAAAATCACAGTGACAAGTGTTGGCGAGGGTGTGGAGAAATGGGAGCTCTGGTGCGCTGTTGGTGGGCATGTGAACGGGTGCAGCTGCTGTGGAAAATGGTCCGGAGGTTCCTCAGAGTATGAAAAATAGCACCACCGTGTGATCCAGCAGTCCTCTTCCTTCTGAGTTTGTGCCCGGAAGAGCTGCACGCAGGGTCCCACGGGGACATCTGTACACTCGTGTTCACTGCAGCGTGTTTCACCGCAGCCAGGAGGTGGCAGCGATAGGTGAATGGATGAAGGTGTGGGCTGTCTTCGGGGAGCAGGGGGTACAGCCTGGAAGAGGAGGAAATTCCGACTCGTGCTCCCCCGTGGATGAACCCTGAGGACAAGACACAGAGCAAAATAAGCCCGTCACACGAAGACAAATACTGAGTCATTCTCCTTCTGTGAAGTGCCTAGAGTAGTCCAATCTGTGGAAACAGACAGTAGGGTGATGGTGAGCCGCGCCCGGTGGAGGGGGATGGGATGGGGCCAAGGGACTTACTGTACCGTGGGTGTAAAGTTTCAGATTTGCAAGGTGAGAGAGTCCTAGAGCTCTGGTTCACAACTGAGTGAGCTGCTGAACACGACAGAGCCATACGCTTAGAGATGGTGAAAGTAGTAAAGTTGATGGGGTTTTCACCACAATAAAACAGATGAGTCATTTCGATTGTGTGGGCGATGCATAAATACAGGCCGGTGGGCTTTCCTCAAGCCCGGGATGCACAGGACCGTGGGCGCATGCCGACCACATCTGTGTCACTGTCTCTTTTTCCCCTTCCCAGTAACGCCATCGGTCCCCTGGTAGCCTTGTGGCTGATTTACGAGCAAGGTGCAGTCCTACAAGAAGCAGCGACCCCCGTCTGGCTGCTGTTTTATGGAGGAATTGGAATCTGTACCGGCCTCTGGGTCTGGGGGAGAAGAGTGATCCAGACCATGGGGAAGGACCTCACTCCCATCACACCATCGAGGTAGGCCAAAGCGCCGGCCCAAAGGGCAGGGCTGTCCTCCCGGGCCTGCCGCAGAACCGGCTTGCAGCGTCTGAAGTCCTCCCCCACTGCTCCTCTGCCCCCAAGCCCTCTGTACAGCCTCGGGGGCCGCTGGGGCCCAGTGGGCTCAACGCCCATCGTTGCTGTCCCTCGTGCGGCGCTTGGCCCATCTGCAGTGGCTGCGAGTGAGGGAGAGAAGGTGAGAGGCTGGGAGTGTAAGGGGAAGAGAAGCTGAACCAGAGCAGGAGGGAAGAGGAAAAGAAACCTGGGTCCAGGCCCCCTGGTGGTCTTACCCTTGGGGAGGCCCAGAGGGAAGCGGGGCCCAAGGGTATGCAAACCGCCCTAGGCCCAGGGTCTGCATTTCCCAAAATTTCTCCGCCACACCAGCCTCCCCTGCTGGATGGAAGCAGCTCTCCGCTGGCACCCTCGGAGGTTAGCTTGCGCGTGCCTCCTGCAGCCGGGCGGGGGGAGCCGTGACCCGCCATTTGCCTTCGGGTGGTCCTTCTGCTGTGTGTGTTTTCCACGTGTGTTCCGGGTTAAGGACAAACTGACAGGAGAACTTGGAGAACACAACTGGACGTGGAACCACCTATTGTAAAAAGTCTTCCCCTACCCCCCACCCTTGAAACTCACTGTAATGATTCTTTTATAAAAGATTGATTTGAAGAAAAACAAGCAGTCGGAGGGAAAAATTCACTTTTTTGCAAGAAGTACACATTTTAAAAATGGGAGTACTTTTTTTTTCTCCGCCACTTTAGAAATGACTAATTTAGCATTTTTTACACAGCAGGAATTTCTGACCCAGTTACGACAGTGTGTGCTTTTTGAAAACATATCGGAAAAAGAAGGCTATTTAGGGCTGTCAACAGTATCACACACAGTCTTAGTGTGCATTGTTGTCATTATGCAGCAGTTTCTTTTCGGTTAATGTCATCTGCCCGGTCAGCAGCCCAACAATCGACCCAAAGAATGTTCTGGTGAGACTCTGGCACCCCTGGGGTATCCGTGAGGCTGATACAAAGAGCGCCTGTGATGTGTCTCTTGTGCCCTTCCCCCCTGCAGCGGCTTTACCATCGAGCTGGCCTCCGCGTTCACCGTGGTGATCGCCTCCAACGTCGGGCTTCCGGTCAGCACCACGCACTGCAAGGTGGGTCCCTCCATCAGGCTGCCGGGGCCCTTCCCCGGTCACCAAGTGAATGGGAGAAAAGCTGGCAGCTCTTGGCGTGTGCTTGTTTTTGAAGACAGTCATCTTGAGGTTTGCGGGGTCTGCTAAGGTGTTGTTGGACGCGGGCCTTGGCTTATCCCACGCTGTCCCTCTCGACCCTCCGGGCGCGGCAGAGTGATGCCTTCTGTCGCACACACTTGGCTTTCTCAGCGTGTGCATGGCAAGAGCTCTCCCTCTTTCTATGTGTGCTTCACACTTCCATTTGTCCTGTTTCTCTCTCGTTTTTTTCCACAGTGGGTTTTGCATTGATGTCATGTGTACGCTAACCATATTCATAGGCTCCCACGGGGGCATGGCACCCAGTTCCAGCCAGCGCAGGGGACTGGGTGTTGACAGTGGACGTAGACATTGAGACATCATCTCAATGGAAGTGTAAGACTCGATTGTTTCAGTGCTTTTTCCTTTTATGACTGTCAAAGTGCCTCAGCTGCCAAGGAGGGGTAATGCTGAATTTCATCACTGCCCAATGCTCTAGAACTCAGGACTATGCAGGAGGGACTTGCTTACAAAGGGGGAGTGTTAGAGCTGCAAGGACCCTAAAAGGTCGAGGAAGAGGAAACGGTCTCCTTGAGTTTCCTGGAGTCATCGGAGGTCCCCCAGGGAGGAGGCAGGACTAGAACCCAGGTCTGCGTCGTATGTGGAGAGATGTTAAAGCGTACCCAGCGGGCCTCCTATACACAAAAATATTCACTGACTTCAACAAAGCAAAAGACACTTCCATATTTTTCCTACGTTCATTTGTTCATGTCATTCAAAAAGAACATTTGTACCTGCTATGTGTGAGGCACCGTTCGTTGTGGGCAGCAGGGTACCAAAGTGACCGAGACAGAGGCCACCATCCACATTCACACGCGGTTTAAAAACACCAACCGATGTGTCAATTATAAACAAATACCACTACATGTGAATGACTTTGCTTCAAATATTAAAATGTCAAGTGGCATTTATGGGAATATTTTAAGTGGGCCAGCTGACAAATCCGGAGCCTTCTGGCATGGAGAATCAGCCTCATGGGAAAGAGGCTTTTTGTTTCCTTGTTTGTTTTCTCCCTTTTTTGCCACAGTATATAGAAAACCCTCAGTTTCCACAAATTTTTATTATTAAAAATTACCGCCACTTACTGAGTGCTTGGGGAATGCCAAGAGCTGTGTTCAGGGCTTCATACATGCTCAGTGAATACATCACTGAACCCCACAGCAACCCTATGAAATTGGTAGTTATTCCTGATTTAAAGATGAGAGAACTGAGGCCTCCAGAGTAAGGTCACTCTCCCAAGGTCATACATTGAGCAAGCGCTAGAGCCAGGATTGAGACACCGACCTCATGCTCTATGCCTCCTGCTCATCACAGAGATCCTGGTGATGTTCACCAACCACAACTAAGACGGGGCAGGGGCTCTCCGGGGCAGTGTGTTAAGCGCCCTGTGAATGTGAGTCTATTTAATCCTCCCAGGCCCCTGTTGAGGTGAGTGCTAAGGGGACTTCAGCTTTAGCAATGAGGAAACTGAAGATGGAAGGGTTAAGCAACTCACCCACCCACCACTCGACCAGGGAGGGGCCCAGCTGAGGTCCCACAGCGGCAGGGCAGGCCCCATTCCCTCCCTCGCCCTGCCCTGCGCACAGGCTAAGTACAAAGCAGAGAGGCAGGAACAGTGCGCTGTGCTTCGCCAGTCCATCACTGTTACTGTTCTGAGTCCAGTGATGGAAAAGTTAGGAAAGGAGCACAGGTTCATTGGAATATTTCAAATGACACAAAACTCTATGACTGAAAAGTGATCCTCCTCCCCCTACTTCGCATCAGCTTCAGTTCACGGGTGTGTGGGAGCAGAAAGGAAACGCCTCTTACTAAGTATATTTTCCTCCCAAGGAGATAAGCTTTGAACTTTTCTGCAGGCATGGAGAGTCTTTGGGGCTGCTTTTAAATAAATGTTACTGTCTTCTTTTATTTTTTTTTAAGATTTTATTTATTTATTTGACAGAGATCACAAGTAGGCAGAGAGGCAGGCAGAGAGAGAGAGGGGGGGAAACAGACTCCCTGCTGAGCAGAGAGCCCGATATGGGGCTCGATCCCAGGACCCTGGGATCATGACCTGAGCCAAAGGCAGAGGACTAACCCTGCACGTAACCAGCCTAGTGAAGGCCGCCTCTTTCCCACCAGTTGAAAGATCTCTTGAAAAACCGAGTTTGTTCCTGGCTGTTACCTAACGCTCTCAGCAGTCTAACCTATACGAATGTATGAAGTGTTGTAACTGACGATACCTCTTTTGCCCGTAACACTAAATTTTATAATACTATTTACAGAAATAGATGAAAAGTATTAAGTGCCCATAAAAACCTACATTCATGGGACGCCTGGGTGGCTCAATGGGTTAAGCCTCTGCCTTCAGCTCAGGTCATGATCTCAGGGTCCTGGGATCGAGCCCCATATCAGGCTCTCTGCTCAGCAGGGAGCCTGCTCCCCCGCCCCCCGCCTGCCTCTCTACCTACTTGTGATCTCTCTCTCTCTGTGTCAAATAAAATCTTAAAAAAAAAAAAAACTACATTCATGTCATTTCCCCAATATTTATATTTCTACTATAATGAGGAGGTGCTCCTAAGGGATTTATATCCAATTTGTATAGGACCTTAATGGATAAATGTGTATGTCATCATTATTCTAAAATAGCCATACAAATCATGTGATAGGTTTTGCTTCCTTAGAGCTGATGATAAGTTGAGTTAGGATAGCTCGCTGGAGACTTAATAGAAGTCTCCTTAACACGAGACCACAATCGATGTCACCTATCAAATAGACAGGAGCCAGAACTCAACTTGGAATCAGTCTGGCTAGTGTCACTATGGTGGACTGATGGACAAAGCCCAGAGCTAGTTGCTGCAGTAGCTTAAGTCAGAGTCCTGGCTCTCCAGTCCTCACCATGGAGCGCAAAGCCTGGGTGGTGAGGAACTGGGAAGAGCTTGCGGCTGCCCCCCCGCAGAGTGCCAGCCCTCCCGCAGCACCAGCTCTGTGCGCCCCAGCCCCCTGCGCAGCAGGTGCACACGGAAATAGGAGAGGTACAGCGTGGTGTTAGGAGCAAGGCCCCGTGTGGGTGACACCATGATTCTGGAAACATTGAAAGGTGCTGACATCCACATAAAGTCATAACTGAACGCCGTTGTGTTTTCAGGAATAATCACCCCACCTGTTCGATTTTTCCAGCTCTGCTTCCTGTCCGATCTGCTTGTTAGGCATCTTGCTTAGAGCCACCTTCCACACAAGGGGGGCAAAGTTAGGAACTTGGCAGGAAAGGATGGAAACTGTTGCTGAAAATAAGCTTTTGAATGTATCTGGGTACATTTTATTCATTCATGCGTTTTTCTAAATGTACATAGCTAAGGGCATACTTTAAATTTTGTTGTACCCCATTTAAAACACTTATAAATCTCCATTAAGTGATCCAGATGTTAGCTGAATATGTAATTTAGAAAAGGAGAATTAGAAAAATCATATTGTCCTGAATAGTATACCATATTAGTGTAATCTATATTTCAGAAGGCATAAGTAAGACAAGTTTTGTTTTCTATAAATCTTACAGTGTTATACATTTTTATATTTTACATCCAAGTTCAGTTCATTAAACATTTTCCTGGGACACTACTTCTGGTTAAAGTTCAAAGCCTTAATTTAAAAAAATAGAGAGGACTCTTGAAAATAAAATTATCCACAGATGTAGGTTTCAGGAACTTGAATTATTCCCCCTTCTGTGAGCCTTGGTCACTTTGGTCTCCAGCCATGGCTACAGCACACAGCAGCCACTCTTGAACACATCCCTGAGCTTTTTAACCATGATTCAGAGTGGTGTTATCCCCAAACATCTTAATTCCACATGGGGGTGGTTTGGGATGACCAAAATCTGATTTAAAATGATATATGAATATTTGTATAAAACTTAAGGAGCTAATAAATGACATCAGTGATTTTAGAACATTTCAGCAGGATCAAATTGATTTTCCAGATTACTAGAAAACAGGCTCTGAACAGGGCAGAGTTTATCCACCTCCAGCACCTACACAGGGCTGGCCCCTCATAAGCGCTCAACAGATAGGTGTTGAGTGAATCCCAAGAACGGTGTTCTGACACCTTCAAAGTAATGCAGTTTATCAATCCATTAAAAAACAACATATGATCTGGGGCGCCTGGGTGGCTCAGTGGGTTAAGCTGCTTCCTTCGGCTCAGGTCATGATCTCGGGGTCCTGGGATCAAGTCCCGCATCGGGCTCTCTGCTCGGCAGGGAGCCTGCTTCCCTCTCTCTCTCTCTCTCTGCCTGCCTCTCTGTCTACTTGTGATCTCTCTCTGTCAAATAAATAAATAAAATCTTTAAAAAAAAACAACAACAACATATGATCATCTACTGACATATATGCCAAAAGACATTTGATAAAATTCTCTAAAACACTGCTAGAATTCAGCAAAAATGACCAAGCGCACCATAAAAATAAAGAACTCTACAGCTCGTCTGTCAGCAGTAGCCAGTACGAAAATGTAATAAAACAACAATACCTCCAGAATTGCAGCAAAAAGATATTTCAGAATAATCCTAATAAATGTGAGTGTTGATATGAAAAAGGCACATAACTTCACACAGACATGAAAGCAGACTTGCAGATGAGACAGTGTTATTGGATGGGAAAACTAAATTTTGTAAAGATATGAGTTCCCTCCAGGGCGCCTGGCTGGCTCAGTGGGTGGAGCATGTGACTCTTGATCTCCAGGTCATGAGTTCAAGCCCCACCTTGGGTGGTGTAGAAATTACTTTTTAAAAAATCTTTTTAAAAAAGGTATTATGTTCCTCACAAATACAAACCCAACCAAATTTTTCTTCTGACTTTACAAAAGAAGACCAAAGTGAATTTGGTGGGTCAGGTTCACAAGGGTATAAAATAATCTAAAAAGAAAAGTAATGAGGAAGGACAGTCTTACGAGAGAGAGAGAGAGTTGAAAGTCTACGGAGGTGGGGCAGCAGTGTGGACGGGGACAGTTTCAGCTGGGGAAGATGACAAAGTTCTGGAGATGGATGGTGCTGATGCTTGCAAAACATGTGACAGTACTTTATGCCACTCAATTGTACACTTAAAAATGGCTAAAATGATCAATGTTATGTTATAGGTATTTTACCACAACAATGAAAAAAATCTGCTGTTTCTATAAAAACAGTAGATAGGCCAAAGATAGAGCCTGCTATACAGGAACGATATAGTTTGGTGATGTTGGGTAAGAGAGGGTGGATCGCTGGCTGTCAGTCGAGAAAAACAAAATTAGACACACAGCTCTCAAAAAATTAATCTGATGGCCTAACTAGCATTTAAAAAAATTTTTAAATTTAGAATAAAATAGGATCTTATTTTAGAAAAGTTACAGTAAAATAGAACTAAATATTTATTAAATATTCAAGGACAAATTATAGAAGAGTACAGCATATTTTATTGTGTGCAATTAGAAACTTGAAACAAAGCAAAGCAGTGAATCGAGAAAAATCTTTGCATTAAAGAAGAGTTAAGGGGCGCCTGGGTGGCTCAGTGGGTTAAGCCTCTGCCTTCGGCTCAGTCATGATCTCAGGGTCCTGGGATCGAGCCCTGCACTGGGCTCTCTGCTCAGCAGGGAGCCTGCTTCCCGCTCTCTCTCTCTGCCTACTTGTGATCTCTGTCAAATAAATAAATAAATCTGTAAAAAAAAAAAAAGTTATTATCTTTCAATAAAGACCACACGTAAATAAATAAATAAGAGCGCACATTTAGATTCCAATTGGGCAGAATACATGGAGAGACAATTTTATATATAGTAAGGACTAGAAGGGGTACAATTGGATAAATTAATAAAAGTTTAGCCTTAGGAGTAAAGATATGCAAATTAAATCAACAGTAGCACATATTTTTGTTGATTGCTTAGCGAAAAAGAACAACTTGCAGGATGATTACAGTGTACCAAAATTCACAGATTATGGATGACCTTGTACATTTACAACTGTTAATAAAACTATTTGGCAGTCTGTATGAAGACCCTGTTCTTCCTCCTTGCAGCATTCCATCTGATACATGGTAGGAAGTTGGTAAAATACCATTTTGCAACCATTGTTGGTAAATTACCATTTTGTAACCATTGCAGTGAAGACAGGATTGGGGAGTCTTCAGCAGCAGGGGAGAGGGAGGTTGATAAGGAGTAGGATATTTTAAAGTCTGAAAATGTTTTTTCATGGATTGTGGCAAAAGGTTAAGAACTGGTGAATTTGGGTAAAGGGTGTGTGGAGTTCTTACAACTTTTCTCTAAGTTTCTAATTATTTCAAGATATTTTTTAAATACTCCCTTTAAATTGCTGAATCACTATTGTACATCTGGAATTAATATAACCCCTATGTTAACTATACTGGAATTAAAAACAACTAAATAAAAGCCTCCTTTAATAATCCATTTCAGGGAATATTATTTTTTTAACCCAAATATAAGCTATATGAATGAATACACTAATCATGGAACTATTATTTTTTTAAGATTTTAATTTGTCAGAGTGAGCAAGAGTGTGCACGTGCATAAGCCGGGGGAGGGGTAGAGGAAGAAGCAGGGAGCCTGATGCAGGACTCAATCCCAGGACCCTGGGAGCATGACCTCAGCCAAAGGCAGACATTTAACTGACTGAGCCACCCAGGCGCCCTGGAACTATTTCTAATAGGGAAAAATTGGAAACAAACTGGAAGTGGTTAAATTAAGGTGCATCCATCTAAAGGGTGTGCCATCTCTCATGTTAATCATAAAGCCTATGAGCACTATGGGGAGATGCCTATAATAGAATGTTAATTTTTTTTTAATATTTTTATTTATTTATTTGACAGACAGAGATCACAAGTAGGCAGAGAGGCAGGCAGAGAGAGAAGGAGAGGAAGCAGGCTCCTTGCTGAGCAGAGAGCCCGATGCGGGGCTCGATCCCAGGATCCTGGGATCATGACCTGAGCCGAAGGCAGAGGCTTTAACCCACTGAGCCACCCAGGTGCCCCTAGAATGTTAATTTTTTTAAAGAAAGGAAATAATGTGCCCTATTATTTACAAATAAAAGTATATTGATAAAAACAAGAAAGGAATATATAAATAGGACAGTAGTGGAGGTCTGGGAAATTGCCCATCCCTCCTAGTACATAAACTTGCTATAGTAATATTCTAACCTCATGCTTAAAAAAAAAAAAAAAAAAGATGTATTTGAGAGAGAGCACAAGTGGAGGGAGTGTGGAGGGGAGGGGCAAAGGGAGAGGGAGAAGCAGACTCCCCACTGAGCAGGGAGTCTAAAGCGGGACTCAATCCCAGGACCCTAGGATCATGACCTGAGCTGAAGGCAGACACTTAACTGACTAAGCTACCCAGGCTCCCCTACCTTTATGCTTTTTCAAAAAAGTTTTCTAAGAAAGGAAGAGGATGTGAAAAATGGGAACTTGAGCATGTCCTCCCTACGGGAATCCAGAACAACCAAAAGGGCACTAAAGAGGACACGCTCCGGAGAGACAGTGCGTAACAGGAGTTAGAGTTTGTGGACTTGACCGTGTTTGAGGACCACCAGAAACTAGCTGACCCTTACACAGTAGAAAAATCTTGATTGTCTGTCATGTTTTAGGAACTTCTAGACAGCATTCTCAAGTTCATACAGGGTACTGGTTACAGCCAAAGATTTTAAGTACAATAATCACTTTGAAAGCTCCTCGTACATGTTAGTTGCTGTCCTGAAGATGTTGCTTAATCATGGCTTGGGCTGACAGAATATCAGACTAACTGCCTTCCAGTATACCGCTGGTTTTGGTGTTCCAGGTTGTGTCCATAAACAATCTGATGTGTTGGATTTTATTTTTCCTGTGGTTAGACCTGGTTGCTATTTGAACAGCATTGGCCCCTGACGACTCTGGAGTATTTGAGGGTCAGTGGAAACAAAGTCTATTTTATGGAAAAATCCAGCTCACAAATGGGCATTCTGTCCAACTCCACGCCCCACCAGAGCGAGTGAGGCATGAGATATTATGGGAATTGTACTGTTTCATTTTTAGGATACTTAAAGTTGAGTCTTTTTTCCTTTTTAAACTTTCAACAAACCATAAAGATGAACGGTGGGTGTTTCGAAAAAGCTTGGAATCCGTATTAACGTTGTGATTTCCCAATATCTGTACCTGTCGTTTTGTGAGGCACGAATGACAGCCCTGATCCAATAATGTGTATGTTCCGCTTTGTCTTACTTTATTTTACTTTGCCGTTTGCATGTTTACTTCCCTTCACACTAGCGAAGGTACAAAGATGGCCAGGCAGCTTGAGATAGAGGAGAAAACCAGTTTAAAATCAAGAGGCCTGAGTTCTGTCCTCAGGCCGTGGCAGTTCTCCCGGGCCCCGGGGCCCCTCGGGATCTGTTTTAGCCTCTGTAAAACGAACCATGTGGATTGGACATTCTCAGAGGTCTTCTCCAGCTCCGACACTCCCGATGCTGCTTTTGCGAGGGAAAGGGTACGTTGTCGCCGTCGCACGGCCCGATCAAAGCAGGGTAGTGTGCTGTGGTCCACCGTAGCCCGCCTGCGGAATATTGAAGTGAAGTTAGTTTATAAGGTCCAGAGAGAAGGGGAGACACACACTTGTCTAACGTTCCACTCAGATGGAACAGATTATAGGCGAAGTGTGTCAGAACTGTGTGCAGAGTAGAATCACCCGAAAGTAATTATACCTAAGATCTTAATTATTTTGAAAGCTTTGAACAAATCAAGAGGCAAGAATTGGTAGTTTTATACTGAAATTTACTTCTGAGATTAGCTGCTTTCCATGGCTTGACTGTAGAATCTGTGCCTCACCCTTAAATTCGCGGGCCTCCGTTTTCACCTTTGAATGTCTGTGCTCCCACAGGTGGGCTCGGTGGTGGCCGTGGGCTGGATCCGCTCCCGGAAGGCCGTGGACTGGCGTCTCTTCCGGAATATCTTTGTGGCCTGGTTTGTGACTGTGCCCGTGGCTGGCTTGTTCAGCGCTGCTATCATGGCCCTCCTCATGTACGGGATCCTCCCCTACGTGTGATTTGTGTCTTCTTCCACGCCGCGCACAAGGGGTGGTCTGGGGTGGGCACGTGGGGGTGGCACGTGGCATGCGTCCTGCCCGTGCGCGGGCTGCCCACCCCCCCCCCCGCTTCTCTGCGTCCCTTTCCTAGGGTTCCAAACCACACTGTTCACCTACACTGTAGAGTCCCCCTCCAGAGCTAACTTAACTACTGTACAGAGTTACGTGCATTAAACTGGTATCGTGGTGACACGACGTGGTGCGGTTACTTCCCTGTCCGCTGCATAGTGTGTACGTAGACTAGCATTATCTCCGCATACTCAAAATGGGAGTGGAGCTGTATTGCCTAGGACCCAGTATTCAACAAATCCTTGTACATCGTGATTTCAGTGGCAAATTTCAAGAACCTTTTCAAAGGAAAGCGTAGATTGGAAAGGGGTGTTTCCCCCGTTGAACAGACTGTAAGACAAGCGTGAGTCGGGATGCCTGGTGCACATTTGGGCAGGTGTATGTCCGCGGGTGTGCTCTTGATACTGGGGTGGGGGTTCACGAGGGCTCTCACTGAGGAATCTGTTCATATACTGTGTATTGATTCTGTAATATATCATAATCGCTTCTGTAAATACTTCAAACTGTAATTTTTTAATGGTGTGCTTCCCTATACTTTTTTGATCAGAGAATTTTGGAAAGTACCAAAGAAGCAGGGGAATAGTTTGCCAGTATTCTATTTTCATATTGCCTGTCTCCCCTTCTCATTAATCCTACCGTTAGCCTGTGCTGGAGGGAGGCCGCCGGGCCCTGGCCTGCCCCTCACAGCGCAGATGCTGAAGCACCAGCCCTCCCCTCCCCCACCCCCGCCCCCCTACCCCCCCACTGCCAACACATGCCAGACACTGGTGAACCCCGCAGTGGCCCTTCGTCGTCGTCCGTGTAGAGAGTGTATGTACGTAAGGATGCGTGTTCCCAGCACCACATATCAAGTCCAGTTTAAATTTTCACCCCTCTTCTCCCCTTGCAGCCTGAGGAACAGAATTCTTGTCTCAAACACTAAGGCGAATGATACAACATTCTAGAAATTCAGGAGCAGGGAGAGTTGAAATATTAGACGATACACTGGATTTGAGGATTTCCTTGAGGCCTTTACTAAGCTGAACATCTTGATGCTCTACTGTAGTCCCGTTGGATTCTTTTTTTGGTAGCGGGAGGGAGGAAGTGTGACTAATGTTAGAGCCTGAAACTATGGAAATGCTGCTAAAATTTTTATATTGACAAACGTTTTCTTGGTACTTCATTGTGATTTTTCATTAATCAACCACATTAAATTTATAATAAAAAAATGCCCCTCAAAAGTTTGCCTCTGAAGTCTTTTTCTAAGTATCTATAGGTTTTTCAGTTTCCATAAAAAGAAGAGTTACATAATGTGTTTACTTCTCTTTTTCAAATAACTCTCTTATTTTACTACTATTATATGTTTGCACACTAATACACATGAGCAGGAGAAGAAAGCAATGAGGGACACAGCCAGCGTGTTGCAGTCCCCTCCAGCACACACGCACACATGTTGGCTCTTCAGCAGAAACCTGACAGAGTGTGTCCTGGGATGGAATTTTTGTTAAAAAATGTATCACACTTCTGTGCTCGGCCTCTCCCAGTTGACTCTGAACTTAGCCTCTTGGGGGGACAGTGGGGAGGCAGTCAGTTCACGAGTTCAGGGCTAAGGGCCTAGCAGAAAAATGCACTTCGTCTTTCTTCTTGGCTCAAGCAGCTACCCCCCTCCCCCCAACCCACACACCCTCTTGGAGCTTCGGAAGCCAGAGCTCCTCCAGCCTCCCCAGCAGGGCTCACAAGCCCTATTTCCTTCTGGAGCCAGAAAGGTGACAGGGATGAGGGACACTGACCAGGTGTGAAAAGTTCTTCATCTCCACAAGTAAATGTGCTTTCTCTGATTTTTTTTTTTTAAAGATTTTTATTTATTTATTTGACAGATCACAAGTAGGCAGAGAGGCAGGCAGAGAGAGAGGGGGAAGCAGGCTCCCCGCTGAGCAGAGAGCCTGATGCGGGGCTTGATCCCAGGACCCTGAGACCATTACCTGAGCCGAAGGCAGAGGCTTAACCCACTGAGCCACCCAGGTGCCCACTTTCTCTGATTTTTAAAGTGACATTCGAGGCCTTTCATTTCCCCACTTCTGATAAAACCATAGATTCATGAAAACGTTCGATTTCCTCCTAAGTTTATAAGAACAATAACAGCAAGACAGTGTCAGCTCGCCAGCGGCGTCCTGAGAGAAGGGCCGCAGGAGCAGAGGCCCGGGAACCCAGGTGGGACACAGAGCCTCGGAATGACTAAGCACGAAGCGGGTCTGGAGCACCCTTCCCTGGCCTGTCAACCTGACAGAGCGGTTGTCACCCCCGTCCCCTGTCCCTTCCCCACAAGGGCCAGGGGGCGGGCGAGCTCTGGCAGAGGATGGGTCACCTAGGAGGGGCGAGCGGACGCTGGGAAGGGGCTCCCCTGCCCTGGCCGCCGGAAAGTGTCTCATCTGAGTCTCTCATCAGCAGCTTCTTCCTGTGAAAATGCACACACTCCTTGGACCAGGGGAACTCCGAGGACCCCCACATCTTCACTGGGATCTGGTCACCAGGTCACCGTCTGCAGAAGAGAGCTACATGGGGCCGCGGAGCGCCGTGGAGACCCTGCCTCCCCCGTGGCCGGGCTCCTCTCAAGGGGCAGAATCTGCAGAGAGGACAGGCGACAGCTTCCAAAGGAGCTTGAGCTCCCCAGTCATTGCTCTTTTACTTTATTTTCTGCCTTTCTGAGAGGACTGAGCTTTTGAGCAAATATGTAAACACACTTACTCATTTTTAACAAGACAATTTTTAAAATTAAGTCCTCTTGGCTCCTCGGAATAAGCTGCAGAATTAAAAACAAAACAAAAGAAACCCAACCTTTCCATCATTCAGAGAATGTGGCCTGTCAAGTTCTAGGGTGTCGGGGAGTTCATCCGGTTAGAGTTCATCCGGTTACACAGTGAGGCAGGAAGAGGGCTCTGGAAGGTCCTGCAGTTGTGTTCCGTGGAGCCCTTGGGTGGGGGAGACCGTGTTCACACTGCGTCTTCAAGTGCACCTGCTGGAGGGGGTCCTGGAGTTGGGGAGGGCTGGGCCCCTACCCTGTTCCTCACCGGGCCCCGAGGCCTCACGTGGGGCTGAGAGGAGCTCTGGGGGGACGGTGTAGGGAAAGGGGCTGCGCCGGGCCTGGCTCAGAATAGGGCTCCATACACTAGCGTGTGTACCTTGCCTTCTTTTGTGGACGATTCCCCTCAGGTGGACTGCTTGGAGGAAAACTTTAAATTAGATGATGGAGAAAACGAATAGAAAATAAGCCACAGTTAGTTGAACAAGACAAAACAGCCAGAGACTACAAGAAAGCGGAGAATGGGTTCTCCGGGGCTAGGTGGAAGAAGACTGATGAGACCTGTGGAATGCGGTTAAATTCTCATGAAGGGGGGAAATGTAGCCCTGTCCTTGCATTATCACCCCCTTAGAGCTTTTCCTAGCACTTCATCCTTTATTATTGAAAAGACAACAAAACAACCCTGAGGCATATTATGAAAAAAAGGGGACAGTCACCTCCATCATCCCCCCACGTTGAGACATTGGTCTTTGGAACACCCGGAGCTGGCCAAGCACTGGGGAAATGAAGGCACAGAATGAGAAGACATTTAGGCAGCCAAATGGTCAGAGGACCAGAGTAAGCCCCAGGCTTCCCGAACTCCTCTCAGCCTCTCCCTCTGAGCATCCGTCAGACCGTGTCCTCAACTGTGGTCTCTAGAAAAAGGGAGGACTGTGCCGTAGGCCTGGGAGGAGGGTCCGAGAAGGAACCCTGGCAGGGGATTAAGAACCTGGAAGCCCAGGAGGAAAGGGTGGGAGGTTTCTCCTGCCTGTATTTATAAAGGGAACACGAGGAATTCAACTGATTTAAAGTAAGGAGTTCCAGACTTAACAAAGGTGATCAGCTGTTCTCTAATCTCTACTGGCTAGAACAAATAGAGAACTTAAGAGAGCAAAAGAGGTTTGGGCTACAGTAGGATGGGCAGTTCCCTTGCCTTTCCCCAAGGCTTGAGATTTGGAGGTTCAAAGGAAACCCAAGTGTAGACGTACCAAATCAGGAGTTGGTAGCGCGTTTGGGAAGGGAGGTAAAAAAGGAGCCAGACTCACCTGTAAGCCAGAAGGCCCCGGGACTCCACAACAGGGCCATCATCTTCTCGTGGCAGTGACAACAGCGACACCCAGTGGGGTCCAGTGCAATTGCAACCGTGACCATCTTCCCAGCCAGAACCTTTTTAAATTGCGGCAGTGAAATCACATCCCAGAATAATAATTACACCATAATTCAGAGAGGCGCTGCAAATGGCAGTATCTGTTTCTTTGATGGCCGCAAGAAAATACGAGTACTTGCCGAAGGAGAACTTCAGTCCGTATGCAGAAATCCCCATGACTTGGAAGCCAAGCCAGGCCCACCTGCCTGCTGGCGCATTTTCATCCATTTCAGTAAACACCCACTGGGTGCCTGTCATGTGCCAGGTGTTGGCCTGGCCACTGGAGGTAGGGAGGCAAAAAGACCTCTCGTAGTTCACAGGCAGGAGCGGGGGAGGGGTAAGCATAAAGGCAATACAGTGTGATTGTTGCCGCCTCCAGGGTGGGGAAGCCTTCACCGAAGAGGCAGACATTTGGCGGAAACTCCAGGAGCAAAGTGGACAGTGAGAGCATTGGGGTCACTTTGGGAATCAGGGGTTTTAGAAGCCCGCAGACCGTCCGAGAAGAGGGTCTGACTGCAGCTTGCCGGAATTTGAAGGTCACGAGGGCCATCTGAGATGCGGCTAAGCTCTGGGAACAGCCTTCGGAGGCAGCTGTCAGGAAGATAGGACCAGTCATTTTCAAGAGCCGAGGGCAGCGGGCACGTGGGGATCCCAGGAGCTGTGCCGAAGCACAGACTCCACTCCCCCAGCACCTCGAGGTCTGCATTCGTTTGCTCAGTGGACAAGCCCCCGCCCTGGGAGCACACACACTCTGAATGCTGTCCTGTTCTCGGGGTCTCCCGCGACGTGGCGAGCCCACCATCGGCATCACACCCCGGCCTCTCTTCACCCTCATAGTCCCGCCACCAGGAGCAGGAGGGGCCATGAATGGTACATTTGGGAAGAATGAACTGGGCATGTTGGGGTTAGTTCCTTCCTCTGGGAAGCGCTAGAAATCCCTGTCCTCCGTTCCACCCTGCCTGGGCCTGGGGGAGGCCTGCCCTGGCCCGACGCTGCTGTCACTCTCGCCCTCTGCGAGTGTCAAGTAGCCTTCATCAGACGATGCAGCTTTTGGCTTCTGTCCACTTGTTTAGAACCTGAGGAAGAATGGTGCTATTATGTGACCCCCTTTATTCTGAGAAGGCCTCTGAGGCTATCAGAATCTCCAAGGACGGGCAGATGTCATCTGAAAAAGCTACTCACACAACGCCAGGGTGTAGAAGCGGAGAAGGCCGAGGATGGAACCGAATGTCCACATTCAAGGGAAGGCACAAGAGAAGACGATTCGATTCTAAAGGGCAACAGCCGAGAGTTCACAGAGCATGCGTGATCAGAGGCTGTCCTCTTACAGGGAGGATGGGCTTCCCGTGCAGCAAACACGGCAACCCTCCTGTGTGTGCAGGGACCCGACACTGGGGCAGCCCACAAGCGGCTTCAACTGTCTTAGAGCGCCTCCCTGCCGAGGTTCCAGAACCCGGGGGCTGGGCCGTGTTACTGGTGAGCTTCCAAGAACAGACACTTAGTAAGGAAACTTTGGGACATTAGCACTGTCCTCTGTTCCTTCAGCAGTGATGCTCAGAGTATGAAGATGGACTAGCAAAGCATCGTGTTGGCTTCTGATCTCCTGGAGAGCTGATCTTTAAAATGAGATGTGCGGTGCGCCCGGGTGGCTCAGTTGGCTAAGCGTCTGCTTTCGGTTTATGTCATGACCCCAGACTTCCTGTCAGGCTCCCCGCTCTGTGGGGAGTCTGCTTCTCCTTCTCCCACTCCTCCTCCCCCCTGCTCATGCCCTCTCTCAAATAAATAAAGTCTTGAAAAAATAAATATGATATGTAAACATCAATCTCTTAAAATTTAATAAAGACCTCACACCTATTAGTTTATCATAAGAAACATCAGTACTTTGATCTGTTTGGGTAACTCTCCTAAGGGCGGTAGGAGCCCGTGGTGTTTCTTGCCTTGGCCAATGCCTTGGGGCTCACTGTCCCCTCAGACTAGGGGACACATTTTCTGCTGAACTGCACTCACACTGACCACCCATTAGATATGGGGCCCACTGTGCTGCCACAAGGGGCTGTCTGCCTTTTTAAACAATAGTAATTAGGAAAGTATTTCCCTAATTACAGAAATAAATTTACTTTAGAAAACCAGAAAAATATAGTAAAGTATAAAATCAATAAAAATTATTCATGATTCCAACTTCCTGAAATAAAGAATATTAATATTTTGGAGTATTTTCTCCTATTTCCATATATACTTTTTAAAAAAAGATTTATTTATTTGAGAGAGAGAGAGAACATGAGCGGGGACGGGGATGCAGAGGGGGGAGAGTGAGAATCTCAAGCAGACTCCCCAGTGATTGCAGAGCCTGATGGGGTCTTAACCCCATGACCCTGAGCTCATGACCTGAGCCAAAACCAAGAGTCAGATACTTAACAAACTGACTCACTCAGGTGCCCCAACATATACTTTTAAAAAAAATAAAATTGAGATTAATTTTTACTCTGCTTTTTCTATTTTAATTCTATTGTGAACAATCCTCAATGGTTATTCTTCTTCAAAAACCTGATTTTTAATGACTAAACAATGTGCCACTTGATGAATATACACACCATCATTTAACCATGCCCGTTACACATGTGGAAATGTTACACATTTTCTCTATGATCAAGAACTTCACGATGAGCATCTCTAATGATTTCCTTAAGGCAAATTCCTAAGAGCAGAGTCACTGAATCAAAGAATCCACTGACATAAAATACACATAAACTAGAATGTCAGTTCTATGTTCCCAATGCAAAGCTGACAGGCCAAAGGCCTGACAGGCCTGTTAAGGCCAAAGTAAGTTACCTTGAGAGTAAGGCTCAAAAGGCAACACCAAGGGTCCTAGCAGTGTCCTGAACGAGTCGATTTAAAATTTAAATAAAATCAAATTAATGCCCTAGGAGTTATAGGCTAATCTGGGGGGAAAGGAGAAGATGAAGAGGGAGAATGAGGAGGAGACAGCTGGGGGACGGAGGGGAGGTGCTTGTGTGCATTTCACGGAGAGAGGGAGCTACTGAGAACCCCACTGTGAAAACCACCTGGAAGTACTCTATCCTAGACACCTCTCATGGCTTTCCTTCCTGGACTGCTGGACTCCAAGATGTCTGCATTAAGACTGTGTCATACAAGGTGACCCCTGCATAAGCTCCGGAAGCATGCGGGTCCGTCTGCGACAAGCTGCACACCACAAAGCAGCGAGCGTGGGCAGCAGTGGCCGGCCCGCCTCAGCGCCCCCCAGTGCTCGGGCTGCGCGGGGTTCTGCTGGCGACAGCTAACTAGACACGGGTGCCAACAGGACAGAACGAAGTTGTCGTGTACTCCTCTCACTCCCTTTTCCTTTCCTGTGGTACTTTATCTCCTGTAGTGGTGGCTCAATCCACAAAGATAATGAGAAAGTCAAATTACATCACGTGGTTGGTATCACAGACCTTTTCCAATGGAAGGGTGGTGAATGGAATTTGGCTGCTAGTAAAGATGATCTTTGGGCGGGGGGGAGGTGGGGAATATCTTGCAGCACTAACATTTTTCAAAAAGCAACCATTGTGTCTACTTGTATGACTCATTTGGAAACTGAGCAAGAATCTGAATAGGTGAATCAGAGTTATTAAATGATCAGTAAATATATGAAAACAGCTCCATCTCAATGGCAATTAGGGAAAGACAAATTAAAATAAGATGCCATTTTTCATTTCTAAGACTGGTAAAAAATTTTGAAGTTTGAGGCCATTCAATGCTATTGAGGATGTGGAAAATGGGCACTCTTGGGGCGCCTGGGTGGCTCAGTGGGTTAAAGCCTCTGCTTTCAGCTCAGGTCATGGTCCCAGGGTCCTGGGATGGAGCCCCGCATCAGGCTCTCTGCTCCACAGGGAGCCTACTTCCTCCTCTCTCTGCCTGTGTCTCTGCCTACTTGTGATCTCTGTCAAATAAATAAATAAAAATCTTAAAAAAAAAAAAAAGAAAGAAAGAAAATGGGTACTCTTGACCACCAATGGTAGAAATATAACTTGGTATAAATTTCTGAAGGACAATTTTGTACTACTTATTAAATGTATATGCCCTCTGATTTAGCAATCTCAAATTTAGTTAAGAGGAAATAGAATTAAAAATTGAGTTCTTCCAGGGACACCTGGGTGGCTCAGTTGGTTAAGCGGCTGCCTTCAGCTCAGTCATGATCCCGGCGTCCTGGGATCGAGTCCCACGTCAGGCTCCTTGCTCAGCAGGGAGCCTGCTTCTCCCTCTGCCTCTGCCTGCCTCTCTGTCTGCCTGTGCTCACTCTATCTGACAAATAAATAAAATCTTAAAAAAAATAAAAATAAAAATAAATAAATTAAAAAAAATAAAATAAAAATTGAGTTCTTCCAGAGCTCCCAGCTATCTTGGTTGGTACAGAGCATGTGACTCTTGTGAGTTCAAGCCCCATGTTGGGTGTAGAGATTACTTAAAAATAAAAAAAAACAAAAAAAGTCTGAGTTCTTCCACTGACCTACTTACATTCCAAGTGCTCAACAGCCACATCTGCCTAGTGGCTACCATATGAGGCAAAGCAGACAGATCATTTTCACCATCAGAGAAAGATCTAGGCAGCGCTACTATGGAAATATTTACAAAAGTGGACAAAAATATTCAATGCAGTATTGTTTATAAACCAAACAATGTAATACAGTAAAGAGGGGAATAGTTAATATCACCTTTATAAGTCAAATAGAATAAAAAAATGTGAGGCAGAGCTATATAAACAAACAGAAAGAAGACTGTGATATGTCAGATTTAAATGTACATTGTAGGGCACCTGGCTGGCTCAGTTGGTTAGAGCACGAGACTTTTTTTTTTTTTTTTTTAAAGATTCATTTATTTATTTGACAGACAGAGATCACAAGTAGGCAGAGAGGCAGGCAGAGAGAGAGGGGGAAGCAGGCTTCCCGCTGAGCAGAAAGCCTGATGCGGGGCTCGATCCCAGGACCCTGGGATCATGACCTGAGCCGAAGGCAGAGGCTTTAACCCACTGAGCCACCCAGGTGCCCCGAGCACGTGACTTTTGAACTTGGGGTTGTAAATTCAAGCCCCATGTTGGGTATAGACATGACTTAAAAATAAAATCTTTAAAAAAATAAAATAAAGGGGTGCCTGGGTGGCTCAATCAGTTAAGTGTCTGCCTTCAGCTCAGGTCATGATCCCAGGGTCCTGGGATCGAGCCCCGCATCGGGCTCCCTGCTTGGTGGAAGCCTGCTTCTCCCTCTCCCACTCCCCCTACTTGTGCTCCCTGTCTCTCTCTGTCAAACAAACAAATAAAATCTTCTAAGAAAATAAAATAAAGTATACTTCAAAACAAGATGTGCATTTTCACATTTTATAAAGATATTTATGTAATCTCTAAAGACACTGAAAAATATTTGCAAGCAATGAACTGCTAGAGATAGCAGATAAAGGGATTGGAGAGAGGAATGGGAATTTTCACTTTTTTTGTGTCTGAGTGCATTTGTTGCAACCAGTATATATTGTTTTTAGAAAGAGATTTCAAAAAGAGTTCTGTTTTTAGAAAGGAAGATGTTTACCGGTAAGCCCTGAAGGTATTACAGCCTATTCATTTCTTTTTGGAGCTGGTATCTCCATTCTTTGGTTGTTTTGTCTAGATCCAGTACTCAAAGCACTTTCCTAAGGCCCTAAAGGGAGCCACAGATGGGTCTGCTCCAGCCCTAGCTTCCTCCTACCAATCTCTTCCCAACAGCATTTCCCCTACTGTATTCTTCCCTTCGCCCATCCTTCTGCTCACTCCCCTCCCCCCACTCTTTCTCAGCCGCTTACACCACCAGTATGACCCTGCTTTACCACAGTGCAGTAGGAAGCAGGCACCCCAGCAGATGTGCCTCTGCCCGGTGGAACAAAACTCCCGGTTTCAGTCCTCGGCCTGAGTGTAGAAGGGCAGCGGGCCGGATAAACGAGAGGGGAAGGGGTAAGCGAGAGCACTCGCGTGTCAGACGTACCATTCTAAATACAAATCCCACCCACCACCAATGAGAGGATTTTTTCAAAACAAAACCAATCACACCAAATACAAGAAAACCACCACGAGCCAAGTCACATGACCGATTATGTTCCAAATGTGATGGGTTTATTTTATTTTACTCTGATGCAAAACCAAAGATTCCACTACAGCACAGAGACCAATATATTAAAAGGTCATGAAAAAGTGGCGTGGGACATGCAGGACGTGATGTACTGGAGGACCGGGTCATTTCCTTTGTAACATGACACTACACTGTCGCTGAGGAACACATTAAAAATAACACTGCGGAACTCAACTGAAATGTGGCACAAACATGACAACTTCCAGGCATGCCTTCAAGTACCTCCCTTCGGATGGACTTGCGATCTCTAGACTTCAGCATGGGGAGGATTACAATTCTTTGGAAGAATAAAAAGTTTACACTTTTGAAATTTCACAGAAGAATTTTAAGGCCAAAACATAGTGGGTTCTCTTCACCTCCAGGGACAAATCGGATGCTTTACTCAAAACCACGTTAAGCTTCTAGCTCAAATCCTAACCCAACCTTGTGACCTCCTGCATTGAAGTTCTTTCCATCGATTAAAGCTGACAGGGTCAGTTTGACGCCTGAAAGAAGAAAACACCACAATCACTCGTTATAGCAAGTATTACAAGCTTATCTTCATTTTCTAGAAAAAATAGACAGAGTCAAGGGCACAGATTACAGCCGGGTGTGAGAGTTACAGGCATTCAGGTCCGACTAAATCAACACAGGTTATCTATAATCCTCTGATCAATGAGCAAAGCATAATCACGGCAAATCACCTGGAGTTCAGGGTTAAGAAAAATGCGTCACAAGCCAGAGTGACCAAATTATAGTAAGAAATCTATAAAGACTTGTTAAGCACAGGCACTTGATCGGTTTTACTTTGTATGAACAACCAACTGTGACAAAATGGTCTGAATTGACCTACAGTTGATTGTAGGTTTTATAGGTTATTTTCATTATTCCTCCATTACCTCCAACCCAAGCCCATTGTTATTAATTCCTTTACTCACCCGGTCGAAGGGTCTGAGTATAACCCAGTCCAATCAGGCTGGCATTATTTACTTTAGCCTAAGATTAGGAGATAAAATAGAAACAGTTAGAAAACAATCAACTTCATAATATGTAAGTCCAGTACAACCACTATTTCATGCATCAGATTTCCAAAACTAAAGCAACTTCGGGCCAATCTAGAACTACCAAAACTGAAAATTTAATTAAAAGCTGTAAGTCTCTTCAGTTAATAGGACTGGTAGGGATAGTAGGGTCCTTGAGAATGCACGCTTAAAGGCCTCAAGCAAAATTTTTTAAACACTGTGCATCCCAACACCCCTGGTGTACTGAATTTTTTGAGATGTCAGTTTACAACCTCTGACAGTGGTTAGAACACGAACTCTGTTGAGAGAAGATCTGTATTCCAATCTTGACACTGCCACTTTTTGGGGGCTTTGGGCAAGTTACCTGACCTTTCCAAGTCTCAGTTCCCTCATCTATAAAATGGGGATGAGGATACTACTCACCACATGGAGTAGTTGGGAGGATTAAATGAGATATTACACATTAAGCCCTTAGCACAGTACCTGAAATTTGAGAGCTCAATTAGTGTCATTATTAATAAGAATTACTAATACCAACAGGAATAGTAATCAAATCCCATGAATTTACAGATAAGAAAATTTTGAGGCCAAAGAGATGACTCCACAAGGTCAGACAACAGCCAAATAATTATAGGAAGAACTAGGACTAGAATCCACATTCCTGGACTTGAGGTATAATACTCTTTTCACTATATAATGACTGGCTCACTAAAGTCAATAAAGAACATGCACACACCAACCAAATCACAACACTCATTTACAACTTAGCTGAAGCCCAATCTCACAGCACGTTCTTACAGACAGAGAAGTTCTACAGTCCAGCTTATATTTAGCAGCAATGCCAAAACGGGTGTTGTTACTGCCGGCCGTCCAAGCAAGGTTTATTGACGTTTCTATCTTCTCGTTAACCTTCTGGTAGATAGACCCTCCAAATTCGGTGCCATCATTCCTATTTTGATAGTATAAGAAAAAGTCATACCTAGTTTGTACCGCTCTTATCATATGGAAACAAATTCTAAGACTGTTTAGACAAGGATCTCATTTTCCAACTCACCTATTTCAGCAAACTTCTAGTATAAATGACTACCAAAGAAAACAAGGAACTAAATCCAGTTATGTAATTTATAACTGGCTAATTAAAATGTAATTAACATTTGATTCATTTACTCTGCTCCCCACAATGTAAATTTCTTAGACATAATTCAATTATGCACAAAGGCAGATACTTCAGGGAAATATGATCTATAAGTCTATGAGATGTTGAAAGAATTCAGAAACCCGGAAGTATAGTTCAATAAAGATTTCTGCAAAACAAAAAACACAGCAGCACAAGAATAAGCCAATTCCGAACTTCACTTGAAACAACGCTGAGTCCAAAAGCACCACCCCCACAATACCTTAGGGCGTACCGCTCTAGAGATGTGCCTAAGTTACTGCTTTGAAGCATCCCAGAACTTAGTCCCTGAGTTTTCATGGTTTTTCCGATCGTACTGTTTCATCAATTTTAACGCCACTGTCTATACCACTGCTTGACTTTATTTCCAGCATCATAGTGAACTGGAATGTCTAGTGGAGAGCAATCTAACGCTTCAAAAACACAGAGCTCTTCCTTTTTTTTTTTTTTCCTGGTATATTAAAGTGCCCAGTAGGCCAAGACATAAACTATAATTTAAAAGTTCAAATTCATTTAACCAAGAGGATGCAACCTACAGCATTGAATCCAGGATTGCTTTGAGGATTTCTACTTCTGAATGCCATAGGGGCGGTTGGGTTGTGACCAAGAATACCCAAAAACCTCCGCAGAATCACTGGGGATGGTCCAGGATGCTCATATCAATTACACGGTTGCTCTTCATGATCCAGACCTACTTCCCGATACTGCCAAGCTGAGTAAGGCACCAGAGGAAGCAGAAATATCTCCAAAGGATCCCTTTTATCAGAAGGTGACCTATGCCCAGGCTTTCTCCCTCCTCGTGGTTCTTGTAACAGATTCTAGACCTCCCTAAAGTTTGGTGTACAGGCTGAGAGGCTAGTAACTACCAGTAGCACAGCACAATGCACCAAGTGCACTAACCTTGGGCAGTGTTTTACTGACTGGGAAACTAGTACAGTGAGGCTGGATGTCCACCAAAGCATAGTAAATGCAGGAACGATCATTTCTAACTTTCTCAACATGCTAATGGCTACCCTCTTCTTGGGCAACGGCACCGGTAAAGGCGGAAAAAATGATAAACTCACACGTGAGTGTGCAGCTGGAAGTCCGCAGCCTTGTAACCCAGGGCGAAATTGTTCTGTGATAGTTTGGATTTGGCTGTGTCAAAACTCATCTGATAGCCAGCAAGCCAGCCTTCAAAAGCTAACACAGCCCAGCCATAGATGGTTGGTCCAGAAAAATCAATATCAACGTTACTGCCAAGACTGAAACAATCCCGTTTATACGAGGCCTTCAATTTTCCACTCTTCTTTCTGTAAGAAATAAAAACAACATGAGTTTCTACTACCGTCCAGAGTAAGATCCCCTCTCTCCACCAATATAAATATTATTTTGATAAATGGCGTACATATAATAAAGTTTCAAATGACTTAGCACTACAAATATAATTTTGTTAGGATTAGAAATGCATATACTGGGGCCCGTGGGTGGCTCAGTCGGTTAAAGCATCTGCCTTCAGCTCAAGTCGTGATCCCAGGGTCCTGGGATCGAGCCCTGCATCAGCTTCAATGCTCAGTGGGGTCTGCTTTCCCCACCACTTGTGCTCTCTCTTGCGTGCGCACTCTCTAATAAATAAAATCTTTAAAAAAAAAAAAAAAAAGAAAGAAACGCATATACTATTCTTACCTATTCTTCACTGTAAGTTCAAATGATAGGATATATCATGATTAATATCATAAAGGCATGAATAAAAGTATAAAAAGGAATAAGCTACCTCAGTATCAAATAATCTGAATATGTATTTATTCATGAGAACCCAAATTTCTTTAAATGTTTTTAAAATGCCCAAATACTATAAAACGTAACACCTGACACACTTCACTTCTAAGTAATTAACCTATCATGCAAAGAAGTGTATTTTTTTTAAGGATACAATCCTTTAGTAAACATATTCATTTTTCCTTAAGGTCAGTGTTTTCTCCCTGGACAACATTAGATGGATGGAAGAGACGGATATACTTCTGAAGAATGGTACTGAAAACATGAAATTGATTTTTATCATCCTTGTCTTTAATCAGGCTTCTGAGAATATTTGTCTGGAAGATAACTCAAGTGTTAAGTGGAATGATACACATGTTGTTACAGCTGAAGAAAAATGCCACTTTGCCCTTTTCTAGCACCAACCCATGTGAGGCAGACAGGAAACAACATGATCCCTGTTTTTTAGACAAAGAAATTGAAGCACAGAGGTTAGGAGATTTCTAAAGGCTAAAAAAGGACGTCAGTAACTATTGCTTATAGCGTTCCACAGCCAGTAGATAACACTGGTTTCTTAAGAAATTAACCTCAGCAAAATACCACATCCATGAATCTTAGAAGCGCTTAAGAAATATCTAGTTTTGGGGCGACTGGGTGGCTCGGTGGGTTGAGCGTCTGCCTTCGTCCCAGGTCATGATCTCAGGGTCCTGGGATCCAGCCCCACATTGGCCTCTCTCCTCAGCAGGGAGCCTGCTTCCCGCCCCCTCCCCGCCCCCCGCCTGCCTCTCTGTCTACTTGTGATCTCTCTGTCAAATAAATAAATTAAAAAAAAAAAAAAGAAAGAAAGAAATATCTAGTTTTGGGGGTACATGGGTGGCTCAGTGGGTTAATAAGCCTCTGCCTTTGGCTCAGGTCATGGTTTCAGGGTCCTGGGATCAAGCCCCACATCAGCTCTCTCCTCAGCAGGGAGCCTGCTTCCCCCCCTCTCTCTGTCTGCCTCTCTGCCTACTTGTGATCTCTCTCTCTCTGTCAAAGAAATCAATAAAATCTTTAAAACAAAAACAAAAAGAAGAAATATCTAGTCTTGGAACGCCTGCTGGCTCAGTTAGTAGAGCATGCAACGCTTGGTCTCACAAGGGTGTAAGTTTGAGCCCCACACTGAATGTAGAGATTACTTACATAGAAAAGCTTAAAAAAAAAAAAAAAAGAAAGAAAGAAAGAAAGAAAAAGAAATATCTAGTCTCAAACCCTTCTAGCTCCTGAACTTTTCCTATAATGTGCCTCTGGACTAGCTTTGTATTTTTGTTCATCTGTTCAATTTTCAAATCAAAACTTTACCCTACTTCAAAGGAATCCTCCTATCTCTTTACTGTACACACAAGGTCCTCTGGTGTTCCTAACAGCAACCTCCTAAGTTTTCCCTGGATCTAACGTTTCATTGCAATTCCCCAGTCTAAAGTGCTCTCTCCCTATAGTCTACAAAAACATTTCAGAAAATGGGGTTTGGATAATTACCCTGTGTTCGGTACAAATATGGTATCAAGAGTCAGTTTCAACCCTTCAGCCAACTGAAAAACAAAGATTTAAAATAAACAATTAGTAATTTTCTGGTTTTTTGACCAAATATTAAGTTACTTACTAAATTATGTCTTTATCCTTCCCCTCCCCCTTACCTCCAGGTTTCATCAGATTCTGTCACCAAAAACCAGGTTTAAATGCATCGGTCAAATTCTATCACAGCCAATAACATTAATTACAGTAAAAAAACAACAAAATTCCAATACAACCAAGTAATCTTGATACTCTCTTGAAATTACTGTAATGAGACAACCCAACATTTAACAAGTCAACCTAAGGAATTTATTCAGTTACTCATATGTCATCTATGGTAGTGTGCATGTAGACATACCTCAAAAAAACAGTGCCCTGTACATAGCAAATACTCAACGTATCTGCTGATAAAATTTTCTCTGTGAAGACATGATAGAATTTAGAAACAGTTTTCTATGGAGCCAATTTTGCAACAATTACAAAATAAAATCAAACTGTCTCACTATGAATAGTTTGGTTTACCCAGGAGAGGCTCAGTTATAAACAGAACTGGTCAGAACAAAGATGTAATGTGCTAATTATGCACTCACAAAGATGTATTTCTAGAAATCTAAGACATATCAAAGATGGCCACATGCAGAGAAAAAAATATAGCTATTATCTAGGTTATAAGATCTCGCTCACACTGTATTTGGGGTTTACGGATCATTTTATCTGCAAGATAAATTTAACCTACAAATAACTCCTAATGCTTTCTCTTACCTTATTCTCCAAAGAGATTTCTGTTCCAAGAGTATTGTCTGTATTCCATTTCTGGGTGAAGGTAAGTCCATAGTTACAGATCTTATATTTGGTCTCTAGGTTGCCTGATGCTTTCCCTGTATCAGTGTAGGCATGACCAGAAGTGGAAAATTCCTGATAAGCAAGAAAAATAATTACTTTAAAATCAACTCATCAAACAGGAAATATTTCAGAAAGTAGTGTTGAATGCATCAGAAACCAATATAGTTTGTTACCACAAAGTATTTCCTGCTTTCTTATTTCTAAAGTTTAATCAGTTTCAGACCTTTCCATTGTTCCACCTCTCTTACTGATACTTCTTGTTCCATAAACTCTCTTACTAAAATGGGAATCTTAAATTCTTTCCTTTAGAAGAGAAATATCTTTACTGAAAATAAATGCCTTTACTAAAAAAGACAAAAATATCGAATCTTAAACATTTTACTTTCGTGACTTGAAAGAAGATTACTCATTCTCTATCATATCTTTCAAGCTGCTGGTTAATTTTAAAGTCCTTAAAAATCCCCAAACACCAGAAAGGATTACCCACCCTCTTTTTTTTTTTTTTTTTAAGATTTTATTTATTTGAGAGGGGAGAGAGAGAGTGAGTGAGCATGCAAGAGCAGGGGGAGGGAGAAGCAAACTCCCTGCTGAGCAGGGAGCCCCACATGGGGCTCAATTCCAAGGCGCTGGGATCATGACCTGAGCCAAAGGCAGACCCTTAACTGACTGATCAACCCAGGTGTTCCAGCCCTACCCTCTTTTAAGAGAACTTCAGTGCATTAAATTTTTTTTTATTTTTATTGTGGTAAAATACATCTAACATAAAATTTACCATTTTTAAGTATGTAGTTCAGTGGCATGAAGTACAGTTACACCGTCACAAAAACTTTATTGCTTTGGTCCACAAAACTATCGGGAAAACTTCTGGTATAAACAATCTCAATACTTGAAAGTATGGACCCATTTTTCACAACATAACGGAATGGCATAACTTGTCTTTCTCCCTTCTCCGCTATCTACCTTTTAAAGTGCTTTCTATCAAATAGTTACTATGAGCACCTCAAAATATATCCTCCTCCCTAGGTAGGTGTCGTTTTAGTCATATGACAATGAGCAATAGGAAACAGATCTCCCTCTAAAAGGAAGCAAAGAGTCAACACCTGTCACTGACAATCTATGAACTGTCAAGAAATAAAGCTTCTGATTGGCCCTGTTTTCAGAGAACATTTCTGAAATGCTGCCAGCCCTGAGCAGGTCTGTGTCACTCCCGCAATATGAATCCTCCCTTTACCAAATAGCCTGTTCCCTAGCTCTAGCTCTAAGGCTGATGAAACAACTGGGAAACTATGATCTGTTTATCAACACCACGCAGGAAATTTTCCAAGAGAGTATCATGCTGCACACTTTAGGGCAAGGCCTCAGCACAAAATGACAAAATGCGAGTCATGTTTAATAGTCCACACAATGCGAGCACTGCTTTCTTTAGTAAATCCAACCATCCAGTGTTTTATTTTTCATTTATGTCCCTCATAAACTTGAAAGTATAGCAAAGATAAACCTCAATTTCAGTGTTAGGAAAATGTCACACACAAAACTAAGGTAGAAGTGTATTTAGTCTACATCTTTTCCCTGTTACCATTATTTCTTAGTTTGAAGTTCTCTCAAAAGTCTAAAATACCTGAAGAACAAATCTTAAAGAAAAGGCCATAATTTTTCTAAATTAAAAAGTTTAGGGGCGCCTGGGTGGCTCAGTGGGTTAAAGCCTCTGCCTTCAGCTCAGGTCATGATCTCAGGGTCCTGGGATCGAGCCCCGCATCGGGCTCTCTGCTCAGCGGGGAGCCTGCTTCCCCCTCTCTCTCTGCCTACTTGTGATCTCTGTCAAATAAATAAATAAAAATCTTTGAAAAAAAAAAAGTTTAATTGGCTCACAATTGCTCTAGTTTTTCTCTAACTTCTTCATTAGATCAAACAGTGCAAAATACATTTATAACATGCACATACTAGCTATAGCTCTACAGTAAAGGCTAGTACGCAACGAAACCACCACAAAAATGTTATGTGAAGTAGATGGTATATGATACAAATATTAAGTGCGATCTAAGAACTGACTGCAATGGATGAATGGAGCAATGGGTGAAATTTATCCTAAATCAATACCAGAGACCAAAAGCAGCCATAAAAGCAAGCACACAAATATGCTCGGTTTTTCTTACCATCTGAATGAACAGTCCCACACCACAGCAGCATGGAAAGGAGATAAAATTTTAGTCGATGATTTTTGCAACACAAACCTAACTTGACCAAATTCTGAAACCTTATTCAAAGTTAGTGTAATTTTTCTCTTTTAACAGAACCATGTAGCAACATGCCATCCGGCAGTAGCTGCATGTGTATTATTTACCACGAGAAAAAGCCAGGAAGAAAATGAGAGTCACAAACCAGGAGTATGAGACAAAGTATCTTAAGAATTCCACATTCCTTTAGCTCCTCTAATGAAATTATTGTATCTGGAAATAAAATTAGCACTGGTTTAAACAGGTAAATACTAAAAAGATATGCTCTATGCTATTGGTGAGCAGAAACCAGAGAATACGGTGAATGTAAAATTAATCTATGTGCCAGATTTACTGAATAGAAGTTCTGGTTATTCTGGTTAATGATACTTTGAAAATATGCCTGTATCCTTTACTATATTCTTAACTTCCAGTAAAAAAGACCTTACAAACATCCAATAAAAACTGTAGATTAAGCCTTTGTATGAATTTAGTCCTACATTTGTTTTGACCAATCATGAAGGGACAGACTATAATTTGTTTTTGTAAGAGGGCAATAAAACCTACTTGAACCCATCATAATGGAAGTAAGGTTTTTAGTACCCACATATGTATTCATAAAAGTATAAAGATATGATATGGGTCAAAAAATACATATATTTTATATCTCCTGAGAGTAAAACTCAGCATATTCTTATTATGAGGGGGAGAATTCTTATTATTATTCTTATTATGAGAACATTTGTTCTCCCCCAAAATTCAACCTGATTATCTAAGGCGAAGGCAAAGACGCTCACTGAAATCTGAGAGTGTGACGAAACTGCAGGGAGGACAGCATAGTGCCAAATGTAGACTGACTCACAGAACTAGACTAAACAATTTTTTAACAGGTTCCTTTAAGTTAATTATGCTACATCTATTAAAATTATATTGGGTACTCACCACTCCACTACAGGACTTGGTTTTCAGATCTATTTTGACCATGCCAAATCCTAGGCAAAAAGAAAAATACAGTAATGTACAAAATGTGATATTCACTCCAGTTTTGTTTTGTTTTTTTTTTTAACAATTTTTATTTTATTTGACAGAGAGATAGATCACAAGTAGGCAGAGAGGCAGGCAAAGAGAGGGGTAAGCAGGCTCCCTGCTGAACAGAGAGCCCGATGCGAGGCTTGATCCCAGGACCCTGAGACTATGACCGTGAAGGCAGAGGCTTAACCCACTGAGCCACCCAGATGCCCCTTCACTCCAGTTTTTACAACTTAAAGAGATTATGAAAACAGTCCATATGCCCTCTATATGGAAAATACACAGTATCCTCATTAGGTGAGAGTTCCATTAAAAACTGAATTATGAAATAAGTATCATTTTTAAGCTCTCAAAGAAAAAAATTATCAGAAAATATTATGCTTATGTAAGTATAGACTTAATTATACTAGTTAATAAGAAAAATCAAATGTATATAGCACAAAAATTGAAAGACTATGTTTTAAAAATAAAAAACAGGAACACCTGGGTGGCTCAGTCATTAAGCATCTGCCTTGGCTCAGGTCATGATCCCAGGGTCTGGGATCAAGCCACACATTGGGCTCCCTGCTCAGTGGGAAGCGTGCTTCTCCTTCTCCCACTCCCCCTGCTTGTGTTTCCTCTCTTGCTGTGTCTCTCTCGTCAAATAAATAAATAAAATTAAAAATATATATCTATCCATTTGGGATCAAGAATATGTTACTCCAAAGAAGTCAAAAGTTCTATCTTCATGCTCATAAAAATACCCATTATTTGGAGGAGGAAAAGTGTACCCCCCACTTTAACTGTCTCCAGGGCTGGCCAGAAGGGACAAAAGTATTAAAAATTTCTATTACTTCATCTTACAGATAACATTAAATATGCAAATATATATGCACACATATTTGTATATAATTGCTTTTAACACTTATAAGGCACTCTACCTCTAAAGAGTTGAGTCTAACATCTGTTGATAGTTAACCCCTTAAATCTTGTGAAGTAGATTAATATTAACTTAACCTCATTTTACTAGCACTGCATCTTGCATATAGTAAGAAGCATTCAACACTAACCCTTACCCCAAACTGGAAATGTACAATAGCACACTTACCATATCCTTTATTGAAGACATCCTTCGCAGCCTTTCCTAGGTCACAGTAAGTCGGCGTGTTACACATATCTTATGAAGAAAAATAAGGACAAAGGAACAAAAAGAGCCATTTAGTATTTGCTCACCCAAAGTCTTAGTATTTAGTCCTGTGAGAAGAGGTATATGGTTTTCTCTGCCTTTGCATCATTAATGCTTACACCCTAATGCAAGCAAAGTTAGGAGAAGGCATTCTGCTTCTTTACGAAGAACTTTCCAGGGGCGCCAGGGTGTCTCAGTGGGTTAAGCATCTGCCTTGGCTCAGGGCATGACCCCAGGGTCTGGGATTGAGCCCCACATTGGCTCCCTGCTCAGTGGAGAGCCTGCTTCTCCCTCTCCCTCTGCCTGCCACTGTGCCTACTTGTGCTCTCTCTATCTCTCTGTCAGATACAAAGAACTTTCCAGAATATGGGATAATAAAAGGATTTTTTCATGAGATTCACAGAGATCAGCTTTCTGACTGCATTTCAAAGAAAAATTTCTCAGAAGCTGAAGGAGAAGCTTTGTTAAATTGGACTTTTTACTTTAAAAAATATATATATATATATATGCAAACTTTACATTGGAAAAACATTTCTTGCGCTGTTATAAAGCCAAGAGCAACTAAAGTGACAAAGTAAAACTGTTCTGAAGAACTGTAAGAATAGATGCATTAAAAATCTTCAGGGTTAACATTTTTGCCACTGTGAAACTCAGCTCTTAAAATACTTATCATACTAATTGGAATGCATTCATTCAGAATATGTTCTCTCTCAAAGCTCTTTTAAAAATAAAATTGTATAATCTTACCCATTAACCACAAACAGGATAAATTCTACCTGCAGCAATTCTGCTTACCAAAAATTGGTGTATACTCTAAAGTTAAAGCCTTCAAAAATCAAAGGTGCCTTCAGTTTTCACCTTACCTACTTGGTACTCACAAAGCTTTTCTACTGCCGATATGGCTCTCATGTTGAAGTTCTCAGAAGCTCTGTCTACACGGATAAACATACCACACCTCTGTCCTCTTGTCCTGCAACAGCCTCAAGAGTCACGTCTAGCCAACTGTAGAACCATCTCAAGCAGTCCCATTAGTCCAATACCAGAAAAATAGCAGAAAAATCCAGAGCACCAGCTATCCCATGAAATTACTGTCTGAATTATCTACACAATCAAACTAATAATTACTTATATTCAGCCTGGCTCTTAACCTGTCCCTCTACTAAGTTTCTGTCTATACCATCATATCTGAACACAACATACACTTATGATGCACTTTTTAATTGTGATTTAAAATTTGTTCCTAATCTAAACCTGTCAAATATGACAGACATAGGTTAAGAGGGTGGAGTATAATACAAAATATATATATATAAAGAAAAAAGAGTATAGTAAAGGTGAAAGAGAAAGTAACGACACACGGCAATAAAACTTTGTCCTAAGCCAGGGTTTCAGAGTTCACTTCCAGGGCAATTGTTTTTCAATTCAATTTCCTGCATTCAAATTATCAATTCTAGACTATTTACACATTGCCAACTGCAATTTGATACTACTCTTTTATTATTTCAGCCGATGCTGGTATCTGATGAAATCTGCCAGAAGTCTAAACATGAGGAGGTTGGTATAGAAAGGCAGGCCCTATATAGTCAAATAAAAATGTTATGTCTTTACAGTCGATTTTCATCTACTGACAAGAGAAAAGATACACTTAACTGTTTAGAAACATCCATCTGACGACAGTCTTTTAGCATTTTGCTCTATTTTTTCAAAACCACTGCTAAAGACACTTTGCAGAAGTGTAGCCGGTTTAGTTTACTAAGTGATCTCAATTCTGCCTAGTTCAAGCTTACTTTTTCAGGCCCGTGATTCTGATGGGAAATGCACTGCTGGTATGATCAAGCAAAAAACAGAGAAGACAGAGACTTCATGTCACTGGGGAGTCAAGCTATCATCGCACATTTCTATCAGCTCTACAAAATGCACCCGTTGCTCGTTGGCATGCACAACGCACGAGGTTGCTTTAGATGCAGACAGCCGGGGAAGGGTTAATTAGGTAACACTGCTTTACACCATTACTAACTTGACAGTCAAGAGCCCCTTTTGTTCCCCGTTTCGCCGCCTTCGGCTGCACACACAGCATCCTCCCCTTGGCGATAAGGAGTGCCACAGGGCTCCCCTGATACTGGACAACAATTCCAGAGAGGAAGCTGGGGGCGGGGGTGGGGGGGTGGGGTGGGTTTAGGTTTCGAGGACCCAACTTCCCTAGAAACCAACCTCCTTTCTGGCCTGACGCCTACAAAGTCCTGTGGGCCCACCATCAAGGGAGAGGGCGCTCCGAGCGCCGCTCCCCACGCCAGCGTCTCGGCTCCATCCCCTGAGGCGGTCAGGGGAGCAAGGTCCCCTCTGCCGTCCTCAGCCCGCCGGGGCCCGCGCCCCGTGAGGCTCCTCTCTCCCTTCCGAGCCCCCCGTTAGGCTCGCCTCCCGCTGGGTCCTCTGCTCGATGGCGGGCCGCTACCCATCCCGGCCCCACCGGGCTGCCGGCCGCCCGGCCCACGATCTCGAGTCCCCTCACCTCCAACTAGAGGGCCTGGCTCCGCTCTGCCAGGGCAACGCTGAAGGTCTTCTTCAAACCAACGCCGTCCGCGCCTGCGCGGCCTCACGCTCCCCGCGGCGCCTGCGCGCCCCTACCCGCCCCTCCCGCGCACGGCGTTTGCGCCGCAGTGTCGCGCCGGGGTCGCGCGCCGCGGGTTCTGAGCGCCGAGAGGAACTTGGGACCCAACTGTCCGGCTCCGTGTGCGCGCCTGCGCGGGAGAGCCCGGCGAGCAGGTGGCAGGAGCGGGAGTCGACGCAGGCGAAGAGACCCGGGGGACCGCACCTCTGTCCGTGAAGGGGCCCGCTCTCGCGAGAACGCCCGGAGGTTACTAGTTACTGTTGCCATGGGAGGGGATGCGGGGCCGGAGAGGACCTGGGACGCCCCTGACGGATGCTGTGGCCTGGCCTGTTTCGTCAGACGCCGAGAAGATCTTCATGGGAATTTCGTCTCCGGCTGACTAAAATTCAAGAATGCGACCCTTAGGTCATCTCAGCTTGAGGATGCGTCAACGGGGCCTCGAGGGGTAAGTGACGTGACTTATCCAAGATCACACAGATTGTAGCGACAGATTGTAATTCAAAGGGAGAGAGACGGAGGAGAAAGCTCTTCTTTAGAGAATAAATTATAGAAAGAGAAAATCATCACTCCGGATCCACCAATTTCAGGAAAAAGTTATCAACAGATGCTAGACATTTGAAGACAGTCACACAGTTCTAAAGCGTCAGCCTACAGACTCCTTACTAAAGAGAAAAAGAGACCTTCACATGGGAAAAGCCACCCTTCACCAAGCAATCAAACTGAACAGTACCAGGGATGGTACAGGCCATGTCACGTGCTCCCCATGTGATGCACAGAGGTCACAAAGGTATTATTCTCGCTAAAGTTGTGACTCTATTCATGGAACAATCAGACAAATCCAAATTGAGGGACATTCTGCAAAACAACCGCTGAGTCTCTTCTAAAATGTAAATTTCAGGAAAGATTAAGAAAAAGGCTAATGAACTATTCTAGATTAAAAAGAAAGGTATGGCACTGCAAGCAATGTGATCCTCAATTGAAACCTGGATAAAAAAAAAAAAAAAAAAAAAAACAGGGGCACCTGGGTGGCTCAGTGGGTTAAAGCTGCTGCCTTCCGCTCAGGTCATGATCCCAGGATCCTGGGATCGAGCCCCGAATCCGGCTCTCTGCTCAGCAGGGAGCCTGCTTCCCTTCCTCTCTGTCTCTGCCTGCCTCTCTGCCTACTTGTGATCTCTGTCTGTCAAATAAATAAAAAAATCTTTAAAAAAACAAAAACAACAACAAAAAAAAACAGCTATTGAGAACCATTATTGGCATAATTGGGAAAATTTGACTTTATTATGTTAGTAGTACAACAATGTATAATTTCCTGATGTTCATAATTGCATCTGGTTATGCAGAAATGGCCTTGATTTTAGGAGATGTATGCTAAAGTATTTAGGAGTGAAATAGCATGTATCTGCATGTAGCTCAAATGGTTAAGAAAAAAAAACAGAAACAAAAAATGTACACTTTCCTGTAAGTTTTAAATTTTTCAAAATAAAAAGTTGGGGAGAAAAAAGCCCCCCCCCAGAAGTTATTGATGTTCAGTCTACAAGTTGCCGCTTGACTCAGTAGGCAGATAATCATTATTTGCCTGGTGTGTGTAAGGAAGGCATTTCAGGCTAATAGATAAGTAAGATAAATGCTCCCAAAGGGCTCATAATGTAGGACTTGGACCAATACCTGCTGAATGAGGCAAAATATGATAAATATCATAAGCAAAGCAGTATTACTTAGCAGGCTAAATAAAATGAGCTTTGGAGTCCAAAGAGGCTGAGTTTGTATCCTAGATGGGCCAGCTCTTTGGTCTTAGGCAAGCAACTTAACCTCTCTGCGACTCAGTCTCTACCTTTGCGTAATAGAAATAAATAGTATCTACTTCAAAGGATTGAGTGGATAAGAAATAGAATAACGTATCTATAGCGTATAGATACCTGGTATGTGGGAGATGTTCATTAGTTAATAACAGATGAAAAGGAATATGCTGTAAGAGTTTAAAAGCTGTACAAAGATTGGCTCTAATATATGTGTGTGTGCATATGTGTGTATATGTGTGTGTGTGCCTTGGTCAGCTATGGAAGGCCATTAAAGTCTATTAAAAAGAGCACTTGAATGGGAATTTGGCAACACTCCTTCATTCAGCTTCTGTTATCCAAAGATCTTTCTTCTGAAAGGACTTGACCTCACCAGCCCTAGGCATATGGAGAGACTTCCTCAGGAAGGCGATGAAAGAAGGTGTTAAGGAAAATGGCTGCCACCCAGGAAATCCTTCCTTTGCTTCATGTCTCTCCGGCCCTGTCAACTTAGCCGGATCCGGGTTCACGCTCAATGCCCATACCAAGACCCTGGCCTCAACCACCTTGAAACTATGGCCAGTTCTCTTTCCCCCATTGCACTTGGGATCTAAAGCCTTGGGAACTCCAAATCCTAGTAACATGGTGTTCTTCTCCTATAAAGTGTTTAGAAATGGGATTTTAGAGCAGGAAAGGGATTTTAGACTCCTTCATGGGTGAGACATTTGCTAAGTACTTGTTATGTGCAGGGCACCATGCTTAGAGCTGATGTAGGAGGAAACAGCCCTACGTGTCAAGTGCTGTCTGGCTTCAGAGGCCCACGTCAACTCGAGGGTGAGCAGTTTCCCAGTACAGGTCACCTGCTCTAGTCAAGACAGCCTGCTGATCTGCTTCCATTACCTTTTTGAGAGAAAAATCTCAGAAGGTTAGTATAATTTTACCCTCAGAAGTGAAAAACAACTGAAGAGCAGAGGCCCCAACCATGAAGATTTGGTAGTTCAATTACACTAAATGTAAAAAAGATTCTGAAGCCAGTGGTATTATTTAATTCTTTTCATTAAAGCAAAAGGGCTCACTTGTTTGTTTTCAGGGACTCCAAAAGGCTGATGAGGAGTGAGGGTCCCCCAGTCACTGAGCAACTAAAGGCATCTTTGAAGAGGAAGAGGTACAAACCATGTCCCTTGGCCTTCTTCAGGGAGGTTGCAGGGCACAGAGGGACCCAGTGGTGAAAGCCCCTCAGTATGCTGGGGGAGGAGACTAAAGGCTGCTCCGAGGAAGGGATATCTCAGAATGGCTCAGGTGGATGACAGGGGAATGGCTTCCAGCACAGAGGGACAGAGTGATCAAAGATGTCAATATACTGGGGCGCCTGGGTGGCTCAGTGGGTTAAAGCCTCTGCCTTCGGCTCAGGTCATGATCTCAGGGTCCTGGGATCGAGCCCCATTTCAGGCTCTCTGCTCAGCAGGGAGCCTGCTTCCTCCTCTCTCTCTGCCTGCCTCTCTGCCTACTTGTGATCTTTGTCTGTCAAATAAATAAATAAAATCTTTAAAAAAAAAAAAGATGTCTATATACCATACCCCAAAATTCCATGTGCAAAGACTTCTCTTGAACAGCTTGAATGATTTAGAATAGCAAAAATTTTAAAACAAACTAAATGGTCAACATTTAGAGGATTCATTAAATAAACTATGATATACCCATGTTCCAGATTATGGTACGGCCAAATGTTCTGATTAGCATTTGATGATCTAAGGGAAAGGTTCAGTGAAAAACAAAGAAGAGGAAGCAAAAGTAAATACAGTGTAACCCCAAACTGTGTATGTGTGTGTGTTGTAATTTTACTTTAAGAAGAAGCAGTGGAGGGACACCTGGGTGGCTCAGGTAAGCGTCTGTTTTCGGCTCAGATCATGATCCTGGGATGGAGCCCCATGTCTGACTCCTTGCTCAGCAGAGGAGTCTGCTTCTCCCTCTCTTTCTGCCTCTCCCCCTGCTTGTGCACTCTCTCTCTCTCTAAAGTAAATACTTTTTCAATTTTTTTTTTAAGATTTTATCTATTTGTCAGAGGGAGAAAGAACGCAAGAACCAGAGGGAGTGGAAGGCTCCCAGCTGAGCAAGGAACCCAGTGAAGGACTCGAACCTGGACCCAGTAAATAAAATCTTTAAAAGAAGAAGCAACGGAATGCTGACCGTAAACATCAGTGCTGGAGAGGCAGGCAGCGTGACCGACTAGAGGAGATACACATGGGGACGTGTAGGCATTAGTGATGGCTAGTTCTGGAGCTGGTGATAGATTAATTATATTGTATATTAAACAGATAAATGCTATATGTATATGTGCATCTGTACCTGCATAGAAAGAAATTGGGAGAATTTACCAAAATTTTGATAGTGACTGTCTCCTGGGTTAGAATATATGTGACTTTTGTTTTCTTCTTTACACTTTTCTGTATTTCACAAAATTTTTAAATTTGGAAACATGTTTTTCAGTTATAATTAGAAAGCTTAAGTTCAGTCTCATAAAGTGGGGAAGTACTGAGGTTTACAAGAAGAGAATTAGTGTTCCATGGGGAATTTCCACCAAAAATTGGGAAAGGCCTCTGGAAGGGAGTACCTGGAACTTCAGCAGGGGCCTTCTGAGCGCCCACTTCACTTGACCACGAGAGGGCGCGAGGAACCAGCGTAAAAGCGAAGCTAAACCTGCCCGCGCGCCCGGGCTTGGGTTTGTGAGTCCGGCGAGGAACCCTGCCCTCCTCCTGC